AAGTGGTTAAACACTGATTTACTTCCCACTTCATATGCATGTGATGCCTTCTTGTATGTTAACCATTTACCTGTAAGGGCTAATTGATATGGTTGGACGTCCTTTGCCAAAAGCATTCAATAAGTCAGTTCAGCATTTCAAAAGCGCAATCTTGATGTGAGTGTCATTCAAGAATATCGACATACATGCGTGAGGTCGGCCTTATCAGCAGGGCCGTATGCCAACTCGCAAATGCCAAGTATGCATATGCCACTGTCGCGTAATTGACATAACAATCAGTTGTTGCCTGCCCCTTTCCTAGGTGACCCGTGTTGGGATATGCATCCCAATGAAAATCATTCCATCAATGAGAAGGATATGGAAGAATGCACCATGCTGTATACCTTTGATTATTTCACTGGTAGTGAGATCTCCTATGCAGTGTCCTACTTTGCCCTGGGCTTGTTCTGTCTTGGTAAGACAAGATTTTTTTCTCTCTCTCATTTCGACTGACTTATAATAGATAGTAAGATTTTGCCCCAAAACACAAAGTTTGTTACGGAGCAAATAAATTTTGGTCAGCCAATCTACAGAATGATTGATTTCATGGTGAAATGTCCAAGCTCGAATATTAAATATCTCATTTTAGTAACCTCAATCTTTTTGTGATCACTTTAAATCTCAACATGTCAAACCATTTTTGTCGTACCCTTTCCTGAGTTCTCATTTAAGCCTGTTTGTTTCACATGGACCCCCCCTCATGTAGTCTGATCTCGTAACATACTGACTAGTGTTTTGCCAGACCAGCACGTTAAAGGCTGTGCCCAAAATATACGGCTCTGGCTGAAATACCGTTAAAGTCTGGTGCACAGTTCCATAGATCAGTGCGTTATTTCCAGCCCACAGGCATATGATTTGGACTTCACAGCACAAATGTTTGATCTGGCCTCACAGAACTTGTTTTCGTGTTTGCCTTCATGCCAAGTATGAACTGACCTTAAAGCAGATTCGATATCAGGCCACAAGTTTTCAAATTATTGGGGAAGACTGAACTTGCTGTCACTTCTCAGTGGTATCCTTTTTAATGATTGATAATATCCTCTTTCAAAATATTTTAACTTAAAAATCAAAGCAAGGTCTTGCTACCAAATCCTGTATATAATCCACCTAATTCTGTTTTTTTTTTTCCCCCAGGCGTTGTACTCACATTGTTCATTTGTGCCAGGAGACGCACTAAGGCCACTGAGGAAGTACGTAAGGCTACGCGCACTAAAACTCGCAAAGGCAAAGGACCCGAATCTCTACAGAAATTCCCAGGTAGGTGAAAATCTTGCCGACAGTAATGGCTGCAAGTTTGTTACGGTTAGTTTCCTTGTCTGTTTCCTTATTGTTTGCTAAAGAGGGCTGACATTGGACAATGATTTGAAATTTCCATATTTGAATCATCTTAGCTTCAAACAAAAAATTACAAAATGTGACCTGTTACTACAGAATGAGTCCAACATTTAATAGCCCTGTAACATGATGTCAACCTTTGCACTTTCCTATGCCACTAGGGTGGGACGAAAGCCATCAAGTCCCCATAAGAAAGCGCATGTGTAAACACAGCCCGACATCATTGTTTTTAAGGTCTATGGTCATTTTAAAACACATTGTTGCGAAGCCCAATTTTGAGGGGAGTCCTTTTTTGGCTTTAGTTGAACTCCAATGAGTTGTCCGTGAGCTCTCAAACATCAAAAAGCATTTTTCTGAGATTACTCAACAAATCATGTTTTTACATGTATTTGTAGTGGTGTATAATGCCCTTGTTCTTCAATCAGTTTTGGTTAATGTGGTTTCTTGTACAAATAGCTCTTGAATGGTGTGGCAGCAAGTCTGGTACCCGGCCCATCCAGGTGGCCTTGGGACCAGGCAAAGCCATCAAAGTGATGAACGAGCGTGGCAACAAGCTGTACCGAACCATCGACCTGGCCCACCACCAGAAGATCACCCTGTGTGTGTCGCCAGACGGCAACCGTCGCTACGTCCTTTTACACATGGAGCGAGAGTACGACCTGGTGCTGAAGTTTGATGACATTGAGAGCCGGACGGAGTACATCAGTGAGCTGCAGAGCTTCCTGGGCAGTGGGGAAGTGGGCCTGGGCCAGGAACGTCAGGAGACCCGGGAGAAGGACCTGTTGAGAATGGCCATCACCAAAGAGCACCGGCAGAAGACACTGGAACGCTTTTTCCGTGTGGCATTTGCCCAGGTGAGTGGCCTGTGATTACTCAAAAAACAGGAATTCACCATTTTAATGAAAGAGAAAGGCATGTGAACATTTATTAGTCTTATTATTTTATTTTTGAGTGTGTTATTATTTTGCTGTGAAAAATTGTTCTAAATCACTCTGGCTTGCTTTCAAGGGCAAACTTTATTAATGTCTCAATTACATTAACGATGTAAGGGACAGACATCTCACTTGGTATCGTTATGAAACGATGCAAACATCACATCCCTGGGCCATTACACAGAAAGGCAAAGAAGGAGGAAAATTTAGATTTACGCTTTAACAAAGGGATGGTTATCTCTGTTACAATCTCAGCCATATGCCATATCTTTTGGCAAACTATGCAGTACGGAAGGTGCAGGTACATGTTTGTTTGTGCAGACTGGTCAGGGCCGTGAATTTGCCGTGGCAGTGGTTGTGCCAACAATTTTGCTGTGCTGAAATCCTGCCCCCCTAATATTTTGACTTCAAAATAAACATTAAAAGACTGTGGCAAAAGGATCGGCTTTTTTAATTAACTTGCAGAATTTTTCATTGAACATGTTGCTAGTTTGTGTAAAATTTCTTACATAAACTGATAATATAAGAGTGTTTTTATGAAACTATGAACAGCTTTCCCAATAGTTTCCATATGTTCAACAGGTTTGTTTGATCACGAAATGGTCACAGTGTGGCACGTGTGTACAGTGGAATGCCACTATTACCACACTACATGTTCGGTACAGTGGTCGTTCGGTAAAGGGAAATTAACTGCCGAACTTTTCATTGCCATGTTGAATAGCGCCCTCTCTTGTTTAATGAAGTGTACCCTCTCGTGATACTGTGATTCGCTGTTTTCGTGATGTTTTGCGGTTGCATTCATGTGAGGTTTCTAGAAATGTATCTGTTAATTATTTTTGTTTTTTTTATTAAATCTTGAGTCACGAAATCGAAGTTTAGTTTATTCTAAAAAGTCGTAAAGCTATCGTTCAGGATCGATCTCTGATGCATACTGTGGTGAATCTAGGTTGATTTGCAATTACATAATGTTCGATAGGTTTTATGCACAAAATATTGGAGCCAAGGACAATGTTCAGTACAGCCAAATGTTCGGTATAGTGGTGTTCCACTGTATCCGTATGTAAATTTACATTCATTCATCTAATATCTCATTGCATCCTTTTGGGATGAAAACAACTAGTCAATCCAGTTGTTTTGCAGTTTGGTGTTTAAAGTTCCCAAACCATTTACCCAAAGGCCTTCAATGAGTCGGTGGACTCCACGGATTTGTCTGAGCTGGAGAGGACTGATGCCAAAGACGTCTTGAACAATGAGCTGACCAAGACAGAGTTTGCTGAGATGCTGTCCATGCCTCCGGACTCGATCTTCGTGGAGCAGATGTTCGATTTGGTGGACAAAGACCAGAGTGGTGCCTTGTCCTTCCGCGAGTTTCTGGACGTCATTGTCATCTTTGCTAAAGGTAGACCCAAACACTAGGTAGTTTTTTGTGCAGAAGGGGTTTCTATGATAGTGTCCCAAATACACTGTTAACTAATGGTATCAGCAAAGATTTTGTGGCAGGGGATGAAAATCCTGGTTTTAGTATGGTAATCATTGTGAACATGTGAACTTGAACAATAAATGTGAACACATATGTATTATTGTGAAAGAATTTTGTGAAAACCATGAATGAAACCAAAGTTTCTTCTGATCTGTCTCTTTTAGTTAGAACAGATTTATGATAAATTAAGGATTTTCAAGTGTGCACTAATTATTTCTTGGGTTTCAATTACAGGAAAGCCTGAAGAGAAGCTGAAACTGATGTTCAACATGTACGACGTTGATCGCTCTGGCCATCTTTCCCGTGATGAGTTCATGACCATGCTGAAGTAAGCATTGAAATTGGTCAGAAGTTCTATATTGAAACGTTGGTCAATTGTGCCATATTTCATAGGTTTTCAACACATTGACCAAATATGCAGCATGAATAAATCAGTGTTCCATCAATCATGTTTTGTGATTAGGAGCTACCAGTTCAGTGAAATAATATCTTTGTGTCAGTTGTACTGACTATTTCTGTTTTCTTTTGTCCCCAAGATAATCATACTACTCACAGACCAGTGTTGTATGGTAATTGAAAGTAAGAGTGATAACTAATTCAAACGTGCGGTCTTGTCTTTTGCACAAATTTATTGGACTACCTCCCAAGTTGATTACACTCTGAATGGATTTTATTCAAAGGCAAATCAACTCAGGTGAGAGTACATTAAATGTGTGCAAGTTTCAAGATTGCATGTAACAACAGCATGCAGTTAGAGGAACGTTGTTTGCGGTGACACCATGTGGTAATTCTTTGTGAGCAGGTGGTGGTTCTGATAAGGGGGCCTCGACGTTTTGAACAGCTTGCTCTGTTCGTCTTCAGGAGAATGCAGTTATAAAATCATTTATTTTAGTAGTTTTTTATCGCTGAGGATTTTTGCCCTGCTTCTGGGGCTGAAAAGGATGAAATTTTTTGCCAGTGCAAATAGGGCTGAATTTTTCAAGTCGTTTTTAGTATAACATGAAATTGCAAAGGTTTGTTATTTACTTTTCAGCCAAAACTTGTATATTAGTCATATTTACACTGACACCTAGCATTTTACCATTTTTTCTTTTAAACTGCACTGATTTGCGATAGAAAAGAATGTACTGTTACAGAGTTCTGTCAAATACAATCACTGGTGATTCAAATGTGGCTGTATTAAAGTTATTATCTGATCATCCATCAGTTTATGAGGTTTGACCTGAAAATTTCCTCCAGATCCATGATGGAGACGGTGAGTGCCTCCTTGGAGCAGAAGCAGCTGGAGGACGTCATTTCATCCATGTTCAAGGCGGCTGGCTTTGAGAACAAGGAGGAGCTGTCACTGGAGGATTTCATCACTCTCATGGGAGACCACAAGGAGGAACTGAGCCAGGCTGCCCTTCAGCTGCAAGGTGAGCACAGGTTGTTTTTAGAATGTGGTTAAAATCCCACCGCTGCCACTAAAATTTTAAAGTGGGCAGCCAAAACAGTGAATGAGAGTATGGAATAGATTGGTGAGTTCTACATTTATGCATCAGTGAGCATTGTTGACTAGTGCATGCATAGTGCTTTCAGTTGGCGCTTCAAGATATAACTGTTATGGCTGCTCCACAAAAATTCAGTTGCTGACATTTGTATCTTATGGCTGTCGTAAGTTAGTGCCTTGGCATCAATCATTAATTTTGTCACAAAACGGTATTGATAGGTTAAGATTGAGGACAAACATGAATGCATTTCACACTTTGGAAACACTGGGCCTTAACTGTGTAAAAGCATGCTATCTAAGTGAATTTCATGGAATTTCTAAGGTTGTTAGAGAGTAAAGCTCTTGTTCTTAGTAATAAATAGGCCTCATTAATGAATATTAGCCTCTTCAAAGATTCTGCAATGTTTTGGAGGATTTTTGCAGAACCTACGAAAGTAAAAGCCATTCCTTTGAAAACTGCTCACATCTCACACCAGTGGTGTTTGCAGAGTTTGGTGGCATGAAAGCAACTTCTTTGTCTGTGACTTAGTAAGAGTTGATCGCTTTTCAGGGTTGACCACAAACATCTTTAGATGTCAAATTTTGCATCACATGCGCATGCCTTTACGAGGGAGTTGATGCTCCCAGAAAGAGGAAGCACAAGGAACTGACTCTTGAATTTGTGGGCGATTTCCCATCACCAGTAAGTCCATTTTTTTCTTTTTTTTTTCTGTTACAGGAGCTGATGTACCTGAGGCTGCACAGCCTACTCCCGACCGCGGTGCCACCGTCATAAGGAGAGAGAATGCACCTTCCCGTGCTCGCAAAACCATCGTCCGGGCCTATGCGTAAGATAACTGTTCTACAATGTTGATGTTGAATGATGGGTGTTCCAAGCCTGTTTGCAACGTTTGGCAGGATTGGATGCATAATTGGCATGTGTACCTTTGTGAAGACTCAAAAATAAAAAAGATATATTAATATGCAGTTGTGGGTGGGAGGTGGACAGCATTTATTGGAAAAGTAAAATCCAACTACTTAAAAAAATGAAAAATTTTCAATTGTGCTGGTTTTTTGGATCAGAGATTAAGCTCCCTGCTAAAAGAATAGTTATTTTCATGCTGTCAAGTACATACTCTTGTTGTATATTGCACAGGAATCACAAATCACACACCAAACACGTTAGTTAACCTTTTGAAAACAGTTCCAGTCATGTGCTCAAAGCATTTCATCAGACCATCAATACCTTTCTCCCACTCAGTGAAAAGGACAGTGACAGACCAAGAACAGCCAAGAACCGCTACCAGTCCCGGGTGATCCGTGTTGAAACCAAGAAAGCAACCTACACCGAGAACAGGACCCAGCAAAAACTGAACAGGTTCCTGCGCTACATTGAGAACAACCGGCTGCAGCTTTTCTACCTGGTACTGTACAACCTGGTCTTGGCTGGCATCTTCATTGAGCGTGCCTACTGTAAGTCTCCGATGAGTTAAAAGAGGCCATGAGCAGTTTCTTCGTTTTTAATGTCCTGGTTCTCAGTATGTATGGATTTGTCTTAAATATCTGCTCAATCTTTAGAAACTCGTCAAAATTAACCTATCAATGAAAATAAATCCTGGTCACTTCGCTTCCAGTCTTAGTCAGGCACAGGTAGCAAGTTTGTACAAGCGTGAATCGTTTACCTGAAAATATTTTGTGTCACCACACACAGACTACTCTGTTGAGCGTGAGCATGGGGGCCTCCGTCGCATTGCTGGCTACGGTGTGACTGTAACTCGTGGAGCCGCGAGTGCCATGATGTTCACCTACTCGACCCTGCTGGCGACCATGTGTCGGAACACCATCACGTTCCTGCGCGGGACGTTCCTCCATCGCTATGTGCCCTTCGACTCGGCTCTGTTCTTCCACAAGTTTGTCGCCATGCTGGCCTTGTTCTGGTCTGGTGAGTTTGAACCCAAATTTTGGTCTGCAGCCCAAATTAAACAATTGAATAACCAACTCCATTAATATCAGATTTGGCCCTGGCAGAAATAACATACAAACTCCTCTCTTTCCATCTTTTCTTCAAAAGTTGTGCACACCATTGGCCATTCCCTCAACTTCTACCACATCGCGACCCAGACTGCCAGTGATCTCTCCTGCCTGTTCCGTGACTTCTTCAATGGGTAAATACAGCATTGAACTCCTCTGATAAAATCAATGATGTTTTCCCCTCTCTTTACCATTTCAAAAACCTTTACACTGAAGATGTGCTAATTTTTTGAGATAAAATATTTGGCAGGTTCTCAGATTGAAAGAAAACAGAATTGAAAACCAGAAGACTATAATAAGTCCTCAGAATGGGAGCCTAACTCAAAGTAGTAGTATTAATATTGTGATTTTCATGCACTATTTCTGCTCTGGAATGTTAGTTTAAAAGGCAGGTAATGGATAAATTAATTTGTTTTGCCAGGTCTCATGAGCTTCCAAAGTTCCACTTCTGGGCCTATCGCACCATCACTGGTGAGTTGACATTGTAAATAATGTAGAACAGGTCTTCCAAAATCCCGAACTACCTCAAACTTGTTGTTAGCTATCAGAGAGTAAACGTTCTTCTTGAACTTCTCTATTTGGGGACTTTTTGTCCAGTTTTGGTCAGCCTTAACCCTAACTCTCCAACCGTCTTACTAGGAACCTTTGTCAAGTTAAAGTCATGTTATGGTCTTAGCAACTAAACTTTTCAACACGCAAACAACATCCTCACTCCTTCAAAATCTATATCCTGACAGATTTTGTGGGATACAGGAGGATCAGGGGTGGGATTCTGATCCAGGTTGAAGTCTCATTCCAATTGGCCAGTCTGGGTACAGTTATATTCTAGATAAGCCAAGGAGGGGATTGTCAAAGCATTGGAGGATTGAGGGTTAAACCTTTACCTTTCAACTTACCACCATTTTATCTCTCCTCGTCATCCCAGGTTTCACTGGAATCCTCCTTGTCATGGTGTGTGCCATCATGTACACCTTCGCCTTCAGCTATGCCCGCCGTAAGGTCTTCAACCTGTTCTGGCTGACCCACAACCTGTACGCTTTCTATTTCTTCCTGATGGTTATGCACGGCAGCGGCAACCTGGTCCAACCTCCTTTCTTCTACTACTTCTTCCTGCCCCCTGTCATTGTCTTCACCCTGGACAAGTTGGTCAGCGTCAGCCGCAAGAAGGCCGAGATCACCGTAGTCAAGGCTGAGCTACTGCCTTCCAGTAAGTCAAAGTCTTGGGGAATTGGGGACAGGGAGCATTTTTATAGTGATGAAAAATGATAAAAAAAATTATTGGTTTTACTTTTAGCAGCAAAAATAATGAGCTAAAATTACACTTTTCACGATTTTGCCCAAATCATCATTAATTGATTTTAAATGTGCTTTCTTTTAAAATCCCTCTTAAATTATCGTTTACATAATGTTGTAGTGTGGATGAACTCAATAAGTTATTTTTAAGCCATCCACAATATCTCTCATTCATTCAGAGTGCTGCTTCTTGGAGCAGTACGCCATTGTCACTTTGCCAATAAAGTGCAAATCTTAGGCATCCACCTCTGCTCCAGTGCATTTTGGCATAAACTTTGACATTCCTTCCACCAAACACTTTACGATTGGCAGACGTGACCATGCTGGAGTTTAAGCGCCCTACCACCTTTGAGTACAAGTCTGGCCAGTGGGTGCGCATCGCCTGCAAGACCTTGAACAGCAGTGAATACCATCCCTTCACCCTGTCCTCGGCTCCCCACGAGGAGAACCTGTCACTCCACATTCGTGCTGTGGGACCCTGGACCATTAACCTGCGGCACACCTTTGACCCCAATGTGGTCCGGGAGCAACCCTACCCTAAGGTAAGTTTCCAGAGCCTTGCTTAGAAAAACGATTGGCAAAGAAAACACATCTTCCATCTCTCCCCTTGCAAACATATGCAAACAAAGAAATTATTGTAAGGATTAAACAATTTTTAACTGCAGGAGGTCAACTTTTGGAACTGAGAACACGATTTAAACAAGGTTTTTCTAAATTTTCTTTTTTTTTTGTCCTTTCACTTTAATGTTTTGAAAATTGATCTAAAGATGTTTTTGTGAGGATAGGTGATTTGGAAAAAAGGATATGAAAACAGCTGCATTGTTCCTACTACAGACTAATCTATCCCTTTACAGCTGCCCACAGTACCAGAAAAATCCAGCTGGTAACTCCCTTCTTCCCACGCAGTGGACCAGCCCAGCTCACTGAGGCATCAAATTCAAATTAGCACGACAAAAATTATTCATTCATTCAAATTGAAAATTTACCTGAACTGCATTGAGGCTGTTTCTAACAGCCCCTCCCTCACCCTTCTAGACAGCGCCCCTTGAACAGCTCTGAACACGCACTGCATGAACAATATGTCAAACGTGTCACTTATTTTCTCAGCTGTTCTTGGATGGTCCCTACGGTGAAGGGCACCAGGATTGGTACCAGTTTGAAGTGTCTGTTCTGGTGGGTGGTGGTATCGGTGTGACTCCCTTCGCCTCCATCCTGAAGGATCTGGTGTACCGCTCGTCCCAGGGACAGAAATTCACCTGCAAGAAGGCAAGGAGTGCATCTTAATTCTAATAGCAGTGTACAGTTTGTATGTAGTATATATTTGTTTGAAAGATAAGGTTCATGTAGACCTGTTATATATTAAACCGTTACACCCTTTATGTAAAGTTTGGATAAAGTTCTGTAAAGCACGCAGACAAACAGGCCTGTGTGTAATAAATGAACCCTAACCTTACTCATTGCAAGAAAACTCACAGGGCAATTTGGGCAGGTTGTGTGTGATGTCTCCCAGCAATAAACCGCATCTGATTGGCAGGTGGATGGTTTTTAAATACAGAATACATGAATCACAAATGCCTTCACGATGTTTGTTTTGCCCAGGTGTACTTCATCTGGGTGACTCGTACCCAGAAGCAGTTTGAGTGGTTGACTGACATCATCCGTGAGGTTGAGGACAAGGATGTCAACGACCTTGTCAGTGTCCACATTTTCATCACCCAGTTCTTCCAGAAGTTTGACCTCCGCACCACCATGCTGGTAAGTCGTCACGCCCAGAGCCCCACTCCTAAGCCCTCCTTTTGGTGCCCACTTATTCTGTGCAAAACCAAACTGTTAATGTTCCATTAGCTGTAATGGGCATAATGTGAATGAAATTGTAATGTCCACAAAATGTTTAAAAACAAATGTCAAAACATTGATGATGTAGCATTTTGGGGGGCTTCAGTTTATTAAAAGAACAGAGAACTCACAACAGACAGTGACACCAAAATTCCAGCTTCTTAAATTAGGCCTGTATTCTTTTCTTTTAAGTAGTTAATGCGCAATTAGCGATGAAAGTAACAAATGCTTACCCCAAATATGGCTTGTATTATGAGGAGGCCAGGGTTTCCATCAAGCCAGCCCAATGATCCTTCCTCAATATCTGCCTTCTAATCGCATGCGCGCATGTCCTATTTTCGCACTGATCCCAGTCTCCAAGTCCGTAAACAGCACCACCAATAATAACCTCTATAAGGTTATAGTCTCTAGTCTCTACAAGACTTGGACATTCAGATTTTATACTATGATAGGAATCAGAATCATTCAAATCTATATCACCTAAAAATCAACAGAATCTGTGTGTTCCTATCACCTTTGTTCTCTGAATTAAAGTTAGGTGCTGGTCAATTTCTGATCATTTAATTGCACCTTTTTGGCTGAATTCTTTTCCCGCAGTACATCTGCGAGCGCCACTTCCAAAAGATCTCGGACCGCTCCCTCTTCACCGGCCTACGCTCCATCACTCACTTTGGGCGTCCACAGTTTGAGCCCTTCCTGCAGTCTCTACAAGAAGAGCATCCCTCGGTAAGACATTCACTGTTAATACCGTTTTACATTGCACTCAAAAAAAGGGCAATGCCATATCAGCTTCAACTTGATGAGCACCGTGTGCAACATCATTTCCAGCTGCAATTTCACACGGTGGAAACATTCACCAGTGGATGTAAGGGCATTTAAAAATGACTTTTCACTCTCAAATTGAACGAGGTAAACTCTCATTGGCTTTTTGTCAATAAGACTTCCGTGAACCATGCTGAATACACAGTTAAGTTGTGTTTTTACAAATGAGTGCTATATCTCTTAAAGCTAATGTGGCCTCTAAGTGCTCCATTTTCTTTGGGCTCCACCGAGGAAAAATAAAATGTACAATGGAATGAATCACTTCAGGAGAGTTGTGGTATAATAGCAGCGTGTCTTTAGCACACAACATGAACTTGTTCAGTTAGCTTATTCAAGGACACTGACTTGTGACTAAAGTTCATTTAGCCAGCAAACCTGCTGCAATTTCATAATGATATTAAGTTTCAATCTGTATACTGCGCACCAGGCATACTGCATTTTCTGTGCCCTGACTGAAAGTCCACTTCGGGCGTCAATGAGATTTAGACTGGGTTATTGAGGAGTGGTTCTTCTGTCAAGTGTGCAGTCAATCTTCAGATTTCAAACACTTTAGGATATAAAGCTGTCATTTCTGGTACATCCTGGATGCTTTATCCTGGTACATCCAGGATGCTGAAAGAAAGTGTGTGAGAAAAAAAAACGAGGTGTAGAGGCAAAAAGGGCAAGTATTCTGTGCATGTAAAACATTTTTATGATATCGGTCTAAAAGCTTGTCACGATAACATCTCGTTTCCCTGTTTTTTTCACCCATTCCATTCTCAGGTGGGAAAGATTGGTGTGTTCAGTTGTGGCCCTCCTGGCATGACCAACAATGTGGAGAAAGCCTGCTCAGAACTCAACAAGTATGATGGTGCTGCCTTCATCCACCACTTTGAGAACTTCTAAGCTCCGTTTCCTTCTTAGGGGTCAGTCAATGTTTCATTGAAGCCTGTGAAGTACAAAGCAAAATATCCAGAGTGTGGTTTTATCCAATTAACAAATTAATTGTTATTGTCAACGTATTTTTATCCTAGAGTGTGAAAAGTAAAAATGCTTCTGTGTCAGCAAGTTTGAAATGCATAAAGGAAACATTGAATTTAAGTGCTACGTGTAGTTTCATGCTATTTGTTGTGCAGTGTTGTCATATCTCACTGGAACTTTTTCTCACATTTTACAAATTTTTGTATCACCATAGATAACTCTAACACTTGACAGTACTTTTTCATATTAATTGGTGTTTAAAATTAGACTTCGCTACAGTTTTTTATATAATTTTGTAAATGGACAAGAGCAGGTAAAAGGTGTGGATTAATTAAATAGTACACTTTGCAGATACCTGTACTAATGGTTATATCCTTTTTTCCTCCCATTGAGCACCAGTTTTAACAAATTTAGAAAATTGACTCTGTAGATAGTGGCTTAATTTTGACAAATTTTTGTCATTGAAAACAGAAGTGAGGGTGTGGAAAATTTATTCAGTATTGCAGTGTCTGCCTTTCAGGGTTATGATTGTTTGCTGTACACTGGTGACGTTTGTATCTGCTGTACTTGAGAAACTGTTCTATTATGTTGGAAACTCTTCCACTGCAATAACTTTCTATGCATTTGTCGGTAAGTTTGTGTACCTTATTAATACTTTGTCATGAGTTGTGGTCCGACGTTTGAAGAGGGGAATATTACAGTTTTGGTAATACATTACATTTTGCCAACTGCAATGAAGTCCATGATGTTGATTTAGAATGCAAGCTTCACTTGAGTGCCTCCAACTGTCCAGACTACTGGAAGAATTTGTGAAGTACATGTAATTGGTTTGGATTTTCACAGTAGGTATTTCCTCTTGGCTGTTCATATCACAGTCATTGATGCATTTGCAGCAAAATCCAGGCCGACAGTGTTGTTCAGGTCAGTCGATGCTTCTGTCTTGCCATGTGTAAGGCTTTGCCGTGCATGAGGGATGCCTGAGGCCATGAGGGAAACAAACAAACAAATGGTGTGAAGTTTTTGTGTCACCTTTGGAAAAGTGTGGCAGTATCTCTTAAAAAAACAAGAGAAAAGAGGGAGGGATACCTTTGAAAGGCCACTTTTATTTCTAAAATTTTGGAACGTGAACGCAATTTGGCAAAATCTTTCTTAGTACTGCACTGCACATAATATATATATATTTTTTGAAATATTAAGAAATGTGTAAACAGATTTTCGTTTGACTTAAAAGTAACCAGTTAACGTTATTACAACAGTTACTGATATTGTAATGCAAATATGATAGCAGGTAGTTTTGTTCGTTTCTTAAAAGTTAAACTAGCGGTTGAAACCTTACACAGTCTGAGAGTTCATTTCAGAGAAAAGGGTAATCAGGAAAGCGTCGTTTCGACTTCACGAAAAATTATCCAAGGATGACAGTATTTTGACGTCGTTTGTAGAAAGCTTTAAATCAGCGAGCTTGTAGGCACGTTTGTAAGAACATGTATTATTTTGTTTATATAATGACAAAACCGAAGTGCTTCCGTAAAATCGTAGTTTAGAACACTTTACCAAAAAAATAAGACTGTAGTGATAGCCAGTGACAGTTCCTCTTTTGCATCAGGCACTTGTTACATTTTGTCAAAACAGCTACATGCAGCATTTTGCGTGACTTTGATAAAGTGAATGTGTTAATGAAATTCCCTTGAGATTGGTTTTTCGGAGATGCAACACCAGTGTTCCATATTGGCATATATTCAGTGTATTACCGGGGCTGGTTGTATATTGAATATAACCGTGTTATTGGTGTATGGTTTGATTGCAGTTTTCATCGTTCTCCCATTATAAATATTTTTGTTGTGACATCTTGTTTCGTGGTGCATTGGCGTTGTTGCCCGGACTTTGTTTTTGTATATTCCCGTTGTTTTGTTTTATAATTTCTATTTGTCAAAATTACATTTTGTTTTATAGATATTCATGTATTTAGTTGTGGTACCTTCTTTTCTGTGAAATTAATAAACAAGAAACAGGTCATTTTGGTGGTAATAACTATGTTATTCCTGGCTTTGTGTTGTTCCTTCTTGCAAAGACTGAAGCCGTGAGGCTAAGACAAGGATTAATTTAATCAAGCAAAGGCAGTGGCGTGTCACGAAGGTCCAAGGGGGCACGTGTCCTCCCTCCATTCCTGGTGCCTTTTATAAATTCGTTAACCATCATTTTGATTTCGCTGATTTTTTTTCCCTTCATGTTTTCATAAAGTATTTGTTCCTTTTCAGAAGGGAGGACCCCCCCATCTGCAGCGCTAACTGCACGTTCCATTGCATATTGCGAATGAGCTTTGCTTAACCAAAAGAAAAACATTTCTGTGGGGACATAGTTGTCGGTATGCTTTGCATGTTTACCTGTGACAAGCATGACACAGATATAGAGCACTGTGAACAATACATTCCTGCAGCACTTGCCATGTGACATCTTCTGGGGCTTTTTAAACCACTCGTCTCAATGTGAGCTTTAGTTTCATATTTATTGAAGGGGTTCCAAACTGTTCAAGTGTCTGTCTACTGCAGCAGACTTTGACCACGAACCTGTAATGGCATGCAACTTGCACGATACCATCTGCCCCTGTTGTGAAGTTTGTTGTTTGTGACAGCAATGTCTTTTGCACGGTGTCGTAAACTCATTTAGAATCTTTCATTGAAAACGTATTTAGACCTATAGCAGCCACCCTATACTTTTTAGGACATCTCCCCCTCGTTTGACTCTTTGTTGAACTTCTTAAATCTGTTTAGCAATTAACACTTAGCATTTGCATCTTCCGTTGCCATTTTGTTACAGATATACAGAGAAAATATGAAAAGAAGTATTATAGTTATAATAGAAGGGTTGTCAGTGACGTTTCAGACGGTGGAAAGAAGGGAGAGTACCCACCGATGGAAACATGTTTCCATTTATGTTTTTCTTTTTAATGAAGACTGAAAGTTTTGTGGACATTCTGATAAAGTGGGCATTTGCTTTTGGAAATATAACAATTCTCCCATTCTCAGTCAAAACCTGGATACGCCACTGAGAGGTTTCTTTTCAGTAAGAATTGGCTCTGTGGGTATTTGGGAGCCTAAAGTTTCAGAAATTATGTTTTTATAAACACACTAACACGGAGCTTAAAATCTGCCCAGTCCCCCCCCCCAGTCATATACAGAAAACGTTTCTGGATAAATCCAAGAAATCCCAAATCGTTTGAGCAATTTCTGCTCAGACCTCATATTCCACGTCTTCTGTTCAAAATGCATTGTGAATCAGGTAACGTTTGGACCCTACACGGGAAATTCCAGTTTCAGTAAAGTGTATCCTTTCAAGGAAATGTTTGCCGTATGGTTAATGGGTATGATAACGTAGACATTGTCGTCAATGGAATGATGGGATGTAGGCATGTCACCACATACAATACAACACAATTAATACTATCTAGATGTAAATATGCACAAACATGATTTGATGTCAGAGGTGGTCTAGTTTTCTGAATTGATATCACTCCGCCGAGGGATACGCCCCTCCCTGAATCTCATAAGCAGTTCACAATAATTTACAAGTGGGCCCAGGCACCCCTCGCCGGTGATTCTCCTGTTTAACAGTCAGATTTTAATATTCATTGCTTAGGCCTACTCTTGTAAACTGCATGTCGTATCTATTTTGAAGCAAACTGCTAAACCCCTTATGGGAAGGAAGCCATTGGCCGACACTCCACAGTTTGCGTCGTGCAGAAATAAGGCATCAGTCTAAAAAAGAACACGCTGGTTCCGTCGATGATTTCAGTGTCATGCGAGAAACCGCATGTATTAGCAGCATTTGTAGTTTCAGGTCTTTGAGAAACAATTAACCTGTCAAAGTCTTTTTGAAGACCGACAATGGGTACACCTTATAGCGCGTTTCGGAATCCAGGGGTACCGGCCATCTATGGCCCGAACAAGACAGCCGTGACCGCTGATGTGACTTTTGCTGGTTTCCTGTTTGCCTTCATAATTGTTGCGATTTCGTTCCTCATCATCCTGCCAGGGATACGAAGAAGAAATGTAAGTTATTACCTTTCCTTTAAGGACATCAGTTGGAGGCACTAGGCCTAAGTTCATTTCTCAAGGAAGAAGTTGATAAAAAGGCATTTTTGTCATGGACTTTCAGAATGTATTTGGCAGATAATATTGCAACTGTATTTGGGACGTTGAAATGAAGTTAAAGGTGGGCGCTGCTGTACTTTTTTTTAACATTGACGAGGTCCTTTTTCATTGTTCATTGAGCTTCTGATGGATTCTGGAAATCTGCACATTTTAATTAAGAAGTAAGCAGCTGGTTCTAGGACAAAGGGTTTATAAGTGAGATTAAATCAATGACGTAACAATGGGGGAAGGCACGGGGGCACATGTTCCTATCTCCCTATTACAGGTCCCTCGCTCCCTCCCCCTCTCTGCATGCCTACCATAATATGTATACAACCTATATACATGTACATAAGCCAAGGTACATCAGTTTTTGGTACCCCCCTTAAAGGAGTGCCCTCAGACCAGGGCAATGTACTTTGGCCAAGGGGGGGGGGGCAATCCGGACATACATCTTATAGATGTCCCTTGAAATTTAACCCCCGTTACGGCACGCTCACTTGATAAGTAGGCAATGACTCAACCGTCATTGTGTGTTTTGACGGAGTGTGCGTTTATACTGTTTCGTCTTTTCAGAGGATCTACGCTGCCGTCAGGTTTTTCGTGGGCATGTTCATCGGTCTCGCGATAATACGTAAGAATAAATTCGTTTTGTTTGCTACAATGTTGCCTGTTCATGTATTTCATGTCTCGACACACTGAAATGGCCTTGGGATCAGAAACAAAGTGGGGTGTACTATTTCAAGTGAGTGACAGTCAGTCCCCAGATTCCCTTCCCTAAAAAAGTTCTTTTGCACAGATCCTTCCTTCATAAACATTGCATGGAAAAGTTTCCATTAGAGGTTTAATTCATCCAGAAAAAAAAATTTATCCTGCATATGCAAAATAACATCAAAAACGCTTTGCTCGTATAACCAAATTGGGAAAAATTGCCATTTTTTTTTCAGTGTCAACGTATGGACAGGAGTGGGAAGTTTCGTCACAGCGAAATGTCACTACTGCCTACAAGGCATTCACCAAGGACGAAATAGTAGCAGATATCGGAGTTAACATCGGATTGACGAATGTAAATGTGACTGTAAAAGGTGAGGCTCGGCAAGGTGAATCCAGAACCAAACTTTCGGGGAGGGCCAAGCTTTTTTTTGGGGGGGGGGGCAATGGCGTAACTGTACTGATGTCCGTGCCAACGAGTGCCCCCCTCCCCCATTTAAAATGTTCGTTCAGTTTGGCTATAAAGCTGCAGCATTAGTCTTGTGGTGCCTCCCTGAACAAATTTGTGCACTCCCTGGTGCCCCTGGACATTAACCCAAGTGACGACACTGGATGGAAGGTCCAAATTGAAATTTGTATGCTGGCTTTGGTGCCCTGTCGTATGTGTTATATATTTTTTTGGCTTTGTGCAAGTTTTGGAGGAAGTGAAATTAAACTGACCCAAAGATTCACCTTTTTCTCGTTATTAAAACTCACACACAATGTGGGCGTTCCCCCTGGTTAAGCCCGGTTGGCATTTTGTTGGATGGATGGTTCGTTCCGGACATCGATTTTTCTCTTGGCACGCAAATTTCCTATCTTCCGTTCAGCAATTAAGAGCTGTTAATATTATTTGAAAACAAGACAGCACAGTCAAAAGAACTAAGTATATGTAATAGGAAACTAGTTGTGGTCATTTTCCATGTTTAGGAATCGATAAGGATGTTTTTTAAGGATGCCCATGCGGAGTATTTGGTTTGGTGTCGAGTATTGGTAAAACTAATTCGGTTGCGCTCGAGTTTGTTGAGTCTGTCAACTTTTAGCAAAGAAAACCATCCATCGGTTTCATAAGACCGTTTATGGAAGTGCCAAACCGGTATCAAGAGTAATAAGTTAGGTTGGCTCCACAACATCCTTCTTTCCTAGTTTTCCTTGTTCTGGTTTCAACAACTCGTTTCCTTTAATGCGCTGAGAACTCTATTAAAGGATAACGGTGTGGCAGCATACCGGTATGCCTTTGGATGATACTTTCCAAATACACATGTACCGATCAGCAACCGTTAATGGATTAAATCTGTCGGAGATGATTCCTGTTTTTTTAAGGAATGTGGCAATTTGGCCTACGACAGTTTCTGTGATTTTTTTTTATTATGGTGGGCAAACTTAACCTTTAGACTATTTTGTAAAAGAATTACAGATATTCTCCGCCTCTGGAAAGTACCGGGAAAGTATTTGAGCCGGGGTCTGGGGGGATGGGGGTGGAGGGGTGACTTTTATAAAAAGAAAATTGCACGGTCACTGACATTTGAAAATCTGTAGGGGTGCTGATGACGCTGCTCGGATCCATATCTTATATTTATACTTCTACCCATGAACCTTAAGTTAATTTAGAGTTTGTTTGTCTGTCCACTGTTAATCATTTTCAACCAGAGTGATTCAAAATTATGTAAAGAGAAACCCGTGGAAAGGTTTGGTAGTGGCGGGCGATGAAAGATGTGAAAATAACATGGTTTGGGGATTTTTGGGGTCACATAACTGTAACCTGTCGAAAAACTAATGTCCTCTGTTCGCGATCCCTGAAATCGCCACGGATAAATGTGAATAATTTTGATAACTATAGGCGTGCCAGAGTACCCTGAGGAGGGCGGGCTGAAAGGGGAGAGAATCAACTACAACGAACGGTTCACTTTCTGCTGTGTTCAGGGCCGCCGAGGTTTTGGACCCTTCGGTAATGAAGTTGTCTGTTTTAGTGTAGCGGTGTTCGGTAATATTGGTGAAAATTTTCGGTTTTTGTTGAGTGGAGAAATTTGAGTAATTAAAGAACACAATACACGTGTAATACGAATCTGCTTTGGGCGGAGGATCCTTATCCATATACGTTATTGTGTGTGGGGGGGGGGTTGTATCATGGACAATGAAAGAAGAGTCAAATGGAAACGCAGAAGAAAGTGTAAAGTCTGCACTGTGCACCTTCGCACTACCGTCGATTATAGCAGATGTAGAAAGTAAAGCAGGCTATGCAGGCTTGTTAGGTACATCGTTCATGTGCGCAATTGTCTTAGGGCTTGGTCAGAACAGCTTGTTGTTCAAATTCACACTCTAGTCGTAAGAGGGAAGAAAATTATTCTTGTTAGTAAAACCTATTAAGCAAAAGTTGCCATCTGCTGTTTGGCGTCTCGCTAACAAGTATGGTACCGGTATGTGTTAATCAAATTTTGGTGACAAAATGCCAATTTTCAAACCCTGTCTTCTGTAATGGGCCAACTTTCGACCCGTGAATTATCTTCTAGCCTTTTTTTTTTCTTTTTTTTTCTTTTTTTTTTTACTCTCTTATACATGCATAGCCGGCCCTATCAATAGGGAGTTCCGTGAAGCCCAGTGGAAGGGCCTGCCGTACCCAATCCTGTGGATAGCCGAGTATTTCACGTTGGATGGAGAGGGCATTCGCTGGGGGAGATCCTACAGAACAGCCGGCTTCTACACTTTCATGGTCATGGGGTAGGTTTCGGTCGCTGCATATGAAATTGCCATACTGAAGTCAGGTTGCACTAGCACACCAGCATGCGGCATTCCACCGACAATGACACTTCCCAGAACTGTATTTAGCAATTTGACAATTATTCTATCAGTTATCAGTTGAAAAATAATATTTTAGATACAAGACAGAATCTGATTCACTGTCTAGTTATAATTTTCCTGTTCTTCAATGAATCATCAAGGTTTTATATTTCTTTCCACGGTGTGTTCCTTTCTGTAGGACTTCATTCTGCGTGTGGGTCTTAGCGCTGGTCCTTTCCTTCATGGTGATACGGTACTGTGGCGTGTTCCTGTTGCTAACCGGTTGTTGTTTGCTGTCATCTAACGTTATTTACGCCACCGTGCGGTACGGCTCGGATCTCGTGATACCCTTTGGCAAGGATCACGGTAATTAAAACTCCGGTTTTTAACTTTGTAACAAAGGCACTTTGATCTGAGCTATAGACTTTATTCAGGGATCAGCCATATTGAAATTGAAAGCAAAGTTAACTCTTCTCTTTTTTATTAAGTTGAGAGTACAAATGAAAGTAATAAAGGGAAATGACAAATGGTTATCTGACAGTGTCTACTCTGATGAATAATTTCAATTTGTGATAAAACATACAAAATTGTACCCTACCTGTTCTAAGCCAGATTTACAATAATATTCAAAGAGAGACCTGGAACAGAAGGTAATCACAAAACAGTCTGGTACGATCCTAATCAACAGTTTGCTATTCATAAAATTAGTTTATGGAATCAAATTGAAAATGACTTCAATGTAAATGAGGTTTATATTCCTCTCCTTATTGGTCCATCACTTATGCTCAAAATTGTGCGCAACAGAAAGATAATTCAGGTGAGCCTTTCTTCAACTTGCGGTTAAAAGAATTAGTATTTCATGTTTTTGGACAGTGTAGCTTCATCTTGTAAACATCTACACTGGTGTTGTTCATTTGTAATGACAAGATCAAACTACCTTCGGGCGAAAAGACAAAGCTCACCCTTTCTGGAGCTTGAACGAAGTTAGATGGGCTCTTCTTCACACATTTAGGGCGAAGGGCATCGACATCGTGGTACACATCATGATTTCATATAGTGACTCACTTTACGTTTACATATTGTCCAATCTGCATATAAATCGATTGAAAGGCTCTTGAACCCATCATGTGACAAGTTAATTTGGAGTTTAGCTAATTAAATCTGTCTGTAATCCATCTTGACAAGGTATTTTCCCCATATTTTTCTCCCTTCTGTTCCTGTAGTGCTGGAATTCTCCAAGGGGTCCTCTTTCTACCTGTGTCTGACTGGAGGTATGCCAATAGGGCTTGAAAGTAGTGAATAAACTAGTAACACCAGTCTCATTTCGTGTCCAGTCGGTAGTGTTGTTTTTATCGGTTTTTGTTTTAGTAGAGGATGTTGATTGGTTGCATGATCAGACTGACTTAATGGTTAAAGAGAACGCGGCAGGCGTCAGTAAATGTGAACAGTTGCTTTGTGGAAGTGTAGGGCTGCAGGGCAGTTGGAAACAAATTTCAGCTCCCAAGATTACAAACCCGAAGCAACCTCGTAACTAAGGGTAATCAGTGTAGAGGAAATGGCGACGTTTTCCTGCACATGATCCCTACACATTTTTTAGCATTCTTGTCCCATTTATTCATTCGATAATCCAAAGGCATAGTGTCCACCCTTGTCGGCATCGCTATCGTGGTGCTGGATGACCTGTTCCCGTTCAAGACGGCCGCGTTCTTCAACGTGGACCCACTCCAGGACTTCCAAGACACTTTTGCACTCAGCCCATCCTCCGGTACGAACGATCGCCATGGGGAAGGCGACAGGCCAGTCTCCGTGCTGAACGAAGACCTGCGGGTTGAGGCACTCGCCGTGGAGGCGAGGGATAAGAGAGAATCGGAGGCGTATAGAGGAAACCTGTACATCAGTGTTGCGGAGGTTCGGGAAAATGAAGGCCCAGAAATCAAGCTTGTTATGCTGATCAGATTTAAAAGATAGTAGTAACGATATGATTTACCCAATTCTTGCCAGGATGGCCACCATACTAGCAAAATAGATCATACTGACTTGCTGTCTGACCCCTAGAAGACAAGTTGAATAGTGTCAGGATAGGATCCTTCAGCTTAAATGTTTCGTCTGTGTAAACATCATGGAGTGCCAATAGCTTCTCATGGGGATAGATTTTGATTGATTAATCTGAGATTGTCCCCAGACCAGGGGTGTTCTTTATGGGGGCATTTTTACTAGGAGGGGAAGAAATCATTTTAGAGACCGTTGTTCTTAGAACGTCGAAGTGAAAACTTGCTGACACATTGTGAACAGTTGATCCGGGGGGGTGTCTTCACGTCTTTGGAACCTTCAAATCAACTCAGATTCATCCTGGGTATCACGCAGTCACACACAGGAGCAGAAGAAGACAAGTTCTTGCCCTTTATTAAGGCGGAAAAAAAGGACAGATATTGGGGCAAAACGCTGTGCGACTTTGCCTTGGCTTTAATGTTCCTTATTTCCCCACAAGTTCCCCCCGATGATCTGCCGCTGTGTTGTGGACATTCACTTTGAGCATACATTCCTAGGCGAAACTAATGGGGAAAAACTCTGACTTTATAAACAGATGAAGTCAAGCTTCAAATCCGGCAGAAAGACCCTCTTCCAGAAGAACAAGCCGAGACGTAAGAAAAAAGAGTCGGAAGACCTCTGTAATGTAAACTTGGGATTTGGCCCAGATGAGGGTAGTTCCGGGAATACGTCCTCGTTACATCGCCTCCATCCGGAACCACGCAGGTATCAATTGTGCTTCATTGTAACAAATCCCTTCGCCCTTGTCTCTCATTTAAACCCTCATTGATCAAAATTTCTCACAAGTTTTAAAAATAAAGGCCTGGCATTTGGATCCCAGCAAGATCTGTCTTAAAGGCGAAATTAACACCTTTAAAAGACTATTCAGATTTCCTGAAATCCTCATCATTTTTCCTCCTCCTCATTTTTCCTCACCATAGTTTTCTTCCTCCTGAAACTTTGATTCTTGGAGGCACAGGTTAACAGATAAAGGACCAAGGAAACAAAATGGAAAGGGCTAAGGGATGGGGGTAAAGGTAACTCTTTCGATTTGTATAGTCTCACGATTTGTGTATTCTAAAAGGGGAAAATAATGGCAACAATAACGCAGAAAGAGCAGAGAGTAGAACGCGAGACATTTTTTCATGTCACCATCGCTTCAATTTAATCAAAGTTTGGTTTTGAAAACAGGTCTTTGGGATCTGCCAGGGTTTTTAAAACTTTTTTCTTTGAACTGACACCTGAAAGAATGTCCTCCAAGTACTTATAAATGTAGCCTTTCTTTTGCATTTAAAAATGAAACTCGAAAGCTGATTTTGATTTCTTGCTGAATCAACCAGGCTTTATTAAAAAAAAACGTTCACAGGCTGGGTAATCTCCATTTTTTAAGCTGTTTTTGACGATGAATGCTTTACGGCTTAAGGAGCCGATCGATCCTCCTTGTGTCTTTGTTACTGACACAATTAGGAATTTAATGCACTTTCCTATGCGATTTGAATAGTTTTATGATGACTGCACAGGCAACCTAGAATGGAATGGACAAAATGTCCATCTACTTTTTTATGTTATAAATAAATTGAAAGTCACAGCATAGTTAGTTTGGAACAAAATGTTTGGGTCAGGCAGATGATATAACTCCAAATAAGATTGATGGGATCAACACTTTACATCATAATCAACTTCGGTCTCTTTGATTTTTCTCAGCTTCAAAGTGAAGAACATGGGCGAAACGACCGTTGGGGATACAGTTGCCACAGACCCTGTCTATCTGAATATATCGTCTATCCGTATGAGTGAAATAGCACAAAGAAACGAGGTTGAGCTCGACGAGGAATGGTCAGCCAAGAGCTAATTTCATTTTATTTAGTTTTACTTCATCCTCACGACAGAGCAAAGCGAATAGAACCCTTACATATCAAAGTGGGCACTGCATATGTATAGGCCTAGTTATATTTATCGGTCTGCAACAAGGAGCGTCTTTAATTTTGCCTCCTTGATTTCACTTCAGAGGATGGTTCTGTTCAGGTTGGTTCATGCCTGCAAGCGATTGAGAAATCAAGGCGGATTTGACGTCACAAAATGGAGTGTGTTCAACTTTTTGCGAATTCTCAGCTCGAATATTTGATCTGACGTCAAAAATTCGCCGTCGAGCCATATCATGTACAACCCTTGAATTCGGCTGTAGAGAAAAAATGGCGTCTTTCTTTGTTTACGTGTCAATTTTTCGATGTCGTTCTATTGTTTCCTTTTTCATTTGCATCTAAATCAATTACAACCATCAAACCACAAATGCCAACTTCTTACTTTAGAAACTTAGAAACTTCTGAAACTTAGGTTTAGATAATCTCCAAAGGAGTTTACATTAGAGTTTTATTAATTATAAAAGCTACAATGGAGGCGTTCTTGTATTAATGTTATATAAGTCAGTAATTATCTTCTGGACTACACAGCCTATCGTAGTTGCATTTTGTCCAGTCACATGTAAATGTATTGAACATTTCCGCGTCTCCTTCATTATGGAAACAAGGGATTTAATTAAGGCGGGAAATTCTTACTCTAAGAGATTTCAGCAGTCTTCTACTCGTATGCTTACTATTGTTGGAAGACCGGCTTGACGAGACCATGCAGAAAAAGTTAAAGTCCGGCATTTTGGGGGCAACCGTTAGAGGAAAATGACATGTGTTTTACAGCACATCGACTTGTGCTTTAAAGCACATTGACAGGTGCTTTACAGCACATAATGTGAGTTCAGGAGACTTTGAACGTGCTTGGTGTAATGCACTGCATTTTTTTGTCTTATATGCTAAACCAACAGCATATGAGTAGGAAAATACCGCTATTATGTTACTTTTAGTTAAGTGCTCATCACCAGACAAAATTAGATACTGAATTTACGGGACGTCCACGCCAAGTTTGAATGTAGAGTTCTCTGCACTCCAATCGCCAGTCCAACGCTAAGATCCGACAATTAAAGGCCTAGTTGAGACGAAAATGCAGCATCTAATTTATTATGGTGAACACTATTTTATTTTATAATATGTCCACCTTTCTCATCATCAGTGCTACGCAGATTTGTTTTTATCGTGTGATAATTTTAGTTTACATGTACATGGAATAAGAAAAAGCTCAAAAAGAACAAAAAAGTAACGCTACGTCAAAAATTATAATAGAGGATGAAAGGTTGTGTCATTTACATACTCAGAGAAATACAAAAAATGTAAAAATATGAAAGAATTATGTCTCGAGTAAAAATTGTCATTGTCTCAAAGAGAGGGAAAATTTTATATAATATGGATATGGGCAAGACCTATTAATAACTAAATAACTGCATTTGTTTTTGCCTCTAACCATCCAAAGGTAGGGAAATGAAGTATGTGTTTTGACTTGCGAATATAGTTTTGTTTCCTTTGTCAGCTTTGCGGCCACGTTCATTGCTCACATCATCGGGGGGGCATGTCCCCCTATAAATTTGAAAATACATGTACTCCTTCAAATATTTGCCTGAATATACATTTCCTGGCAACGCTCATGGCCAAAGAATTTGATTTTTTTTTATTCAGTTTATTCACCACTTACAAACTTAGTAAATACATTTACTGATAACAGAGATTTTCAGACAAAACATTCTTCCTTCGTTACAAATTTAAACCAAACAAAACCTGTGCTCCAGTTGTCAAGTGGTGGCGCTCTTCCGAACAAACTTGGGAATATCCCGTCGACGCGACGTATTGCATGTATTGGGGTGCGTGAGAAATCGTGTCCATCAGAATTTCGAAGAATTCACCGAAAATCACGAACTAACGGAGATGGCTGCTCTACAGTTGTCATCCAGGTTTGGGATTCTCAATGTCATGGACGCTTCCCCTGACTTTGACGATTCGGAGGAGGAGGAGGCCGACATGGCTTTGGGGTCGGGTAAGCAAAAAAAAAACCAGCAGGAGAAACAGAATAACAAAGATGGCAAGGCAAGTAGGCCTGGCAACGCTGGTGGTAGCAGCGGCACGGAAGGCTCAATGAGTGCCAATGCCAAGAGACGCGCCAAGAGGAAGAAGAATAAGCAAGCTGCGGAGGTACGTGGCGTATTTCTTCAGTTGTCTCTTTTTGAAGGGTGGAGTTGTGAAATGCATGGGCGGCAAATGGGGGGGGCAGTGGTGGCAGAAGTGGGGGGGGGACACACGTACACTCTCCCCCTCCCCACTTTTTCAGCTGGGATAGCCTTGGTGAAGGTACTCGTCATTAGGCCTAGCTGCAACGCACCAGCTAACTGCATCTACATGTAAATGCGTATCGTCAGGCTGCCTAAATTTACACAGACCTGCCGGTATTTCTACACACTTACCTTACAGTTAATGTTTTGCAGACGTGCGCTTTTGAACAGCTAGCGTCACTTGTATCATTTGTCCTTGTTCAAAAGTTTTGCAAAAGACCCAAAAATATTGGAAGTTAATCCTGTAATCTTACATGTAGTTTATGTGTAGGTACATGTATGTGAAATGAAATTTTGAAGTGCGAGTAGGCCTAGTGAAAATAAATTACTTGTCATTGAAAAAACTTTACTAATGCAGTAAAATAATGCAAGAATCAGCTCAGTCGGATGTATCTTAATGAAGTGAAATCTCGGGGAATTAAATATTCCTGTCTAAGTGTCCTACATATTAAAAACTGTGACCTAAATTAAAGTCTTTTAAAGACCAATTTCATAACTCATTAAATACCTGGAATATTTAAGTTAAAACTTCTTGGGGACTTTCAACAAACAAACTTGAAAGTATCATTCAACACTGATGATAAAAAGAAAAGAAAAATTTGGGCACTAATTAATCATTATTAATTAATTATCATCCATCTTACTACAAGAACATGGCCATCCACCAATGAAAGATCAACTTACCGGTATGTGAGCAATGAAAACAAAGTTCTTGTCAATATGATTGTTATTACCTGTGAAACCACCGGTTATTTTTCAGTAATTGACTGTAATATGATTAATATTAATAGACCCCCTTAGTATGACATCATGTTAGAGGGCATTTCTGTCTTCCTCTAGGACAGGCTTGAGTAAAACTTTTGTGCATTCTTTGTCATTAAATCTAAATAATAAACTTGTCATCTGTGAGGGCACTCCACGCAGGCCCTCTATTAAACTAGTATGCCATTCACCCCCTCCAAAAACCTTATGACAATGAGCAAGGAATCCATCCCATTATCGGGTCAAAAAAGGAAAGCCAGAAAAGTCCATCTTCATCTGCTTTGCAGTGGGCTATTTCTTTGTACATAACGAGTATACATTGAGCATAACACTTCAAATGTTACTTGAAATGTAGTTTTGGATACGATTTGCAACTGATGTTGCCTATTAAAAGCACACTGTGTTACAAAATGCCACTAAAAATCACTTTGTAACACATGGCATGCAATTTGCATTGTGCAATCGCGGCAATCACTTTTCGGCGGAGCGTACGAAATTTGTGCCATTTGTTAAATTTCCTCCCAAAATTCTACTATATGTAATTATGTAGCTTACAAATTATATGGTTTTATTCTTATACTATAGATCTTCAGGTAAACTCGCTAAAATCCATGTGCACAATTTTCGGATGATTATGATCCCACCGGTTTCAAAACTGTAGATTTCAAAGACCACTATCTGCGAAGATTTAGGCAGGAATTCTTACACACACACGTGGTCAAACCCACTAAAAACTGCCTACTTCTGGGCACAAAAAGAAGTAATTTTTTGTGCGAATCACTTCAATGGCAGTTGTAAAATATAGTTACCTCTAAAAATTTCAATTGCATTTTTTCTGGAAATCTCGTCTCAAAGCCTTAGGTGCACAGAAATAGGAGGGTTGAGGATACAAGTAGTTGACGGCAGCAGTCGTGTATGTGTGCATTTGAAACATCAAGGCGAGCAGCAACCTTACGCGGCCAGCGTGATATCCAAATCAGCTGAATCTGGACCAGGTTCAGCTAATCTGAATATCGTGGTGGCCGCATGATGAGGTCACTCTTTGTCTGTATTTCCCCACTGCACACAGTCTCTGCAACGTCATACACGTGCATGTACTGCACACATTTGTGTGTGCACATGCTGGGCCGCTGTGGATAGCTTGTTAACAGTGGATAATGCGAGACATTGCGGTCAGTTCTCATACAGAAGGCTGATGACAATTGCCTTGACCAAGACTGCAACTGGGTGGACTTGTCCCCCCTCCCCCACACGCTTTCGACAGGTCCTATTATTACAGGGTGGAGCTTTATGGATACATAATTTAATGGCTCATGCCTAATGGTTTCACATTTGCTGCCCCCCGCCCTTTTTGAAAATCATTTTGCCTCTACTGGAAAGTGGGCCCTACATATCCCTCTATCCTTTTTGACTTGGAGCTATTGAATCCCCTTCCCGCACTTTTTCTTGGGGAGAATCAATGCAAATTGTGACGAGTTTTGATCACATTAGTTTAGTCCTGAATACATGCATGAGTCTAGTTGGTTGTTACCGTACCCACAGCTACGAGACATCGCCTTCAACCCTTCAGTTCCCAAGGGGGCTGTAGTAGGGAGTCCACCTACCAGTCCCCCAGCCCGATTACCCCCTGGACTGGTCCTTCCAGAGGTCACCCCAGCCAGTCAGCCTGCCCAGTCCAGCCCCTTACAGCATCTCATTAGAAGTTCCGTCCAGTGGGAGGAGTGGAAGAGGAAAGATAGGGGGGTAAGTCTGATGTGTATCCCTCCTGAAATAAAGTGCAGCCTTGATGGCAAAGAAGAGGAAGCTACATTTTGCTGTATGTGTAGCTTGATGGGAGGTTTTTCATACTTCAATCAGGCAGGTGTATGCACTTGGCTCGCATGTGAAGACTGTACGTTCAAATAGAAATTAGTCATGTGCCAAACATGCACAACCAGTGCATGCACAAAGGGAGTTCCTACCAAAGGACTGCTGCTACAAAAAGATGAAAAGATCTGCCACACAAAAGTATTCATGTACATGTACCGTTGAAGCAGTTGATTTTTATTTAACGGTACAAAGAAATCTTTAGGTTACAACAAAAAGAAATCTTAGTAAAATGACTGTTTGTCTGCAATAAACACACTATGAGAACTGTTGCCACAGCAGAGCAATTAAAGTTTAAGATTACATACACATTTCATGTACGTATGTGTTTTGTGACTCCATGACTTGGGGAATTCCGTTAATAACTTGAAATCCGGACAACTCAAATGTTTATTTATTCTCTGAGGTTGGAGTTTTCAGATGTAAACAGCAACCAATGAAAACATAACTGCACCACCTGCATGTGGTATGTGTGGCCCAGTTGCGACTTTTGTAACTGATTTTATCCTTCAAAGTTTGCCATATAATCCACTTTTTTCAGTGTCAGAATTAACATATAAGCTGCAGCTTATACTCCAAAAAATACGGTAGTTATGACACAGACTATTAAAGGTTCTTTTTTGCTTAAAGTTGGACACGTGTTGGTCCAGTTCTGCTTTCCAAGCTTGTCAGCCCTGTATTTGTATGATGTTATAGAGAAATACCCCATGCTTGACTGGAAAAATTCTGAATTATGTACTTGCCTTCCTAATGAAAATTTCACAGAATTTGATGAGGTTTGTTGCTTGTGGTTGGCCTTTTTCCTGTGTTCATCTCTGAAGGTCCCAGTCTAGTCAGATTGAACATACATTTGAGAAGTAGGTTACTGAAATACACCATGGCTTCCAGAATGATTGTACATAGTTTGAAGCTTAACATAAGATATTGCTGAATATAAGATATAATATTGAATATAAATGTTCCCTTCATCAAAAAAGGGGCCAGTGCACAACTTAAAAGTGGGGGGGGGAGCCAGCAGCTTGCAAAATGTTGCAATTAAGAAGAGACTGCATGTAATTTTTCTCAGTTTTGCTTTTTCTTGTACATGTAGGTTGTTAAAGACCAGTTTGAAGATGATCTACAGAAGGCCATCTTGGCAAGCAAGATAGAGTATGAACGGCTGCAACAGGTAAAAAGAAAATAAATTACCCTCTGGTTTTGAGCTGTTGGCCAGTGCAGGTCTGCCTGGTCATATCATATTGTTTCCTACCAGCAGAGCATCAAATTATAGACAGCGCTCAGTCAGTTTCAGACCTCTTTGGGTATTTGGCCCAGAGGAGATGTGGTTGTACACAATATCTGGGGAAAAAAGTAAAGTCAGAAGTCCCACGAGTGAAATCCAGTTGCCATTTTTACTCTGATTTTGTGCTTACGGCATTTAAACTAGGAGAGGATGTTCTCATGTGACCTTGGTCAGTGTCAAATAGGCTGATATTGGCAGAATGAAATTGATCATGCTAGTACATGTACATGTATATGAACGTTTAGTGTGACCACTTCTTTGGCCAAATTTCACGCAAAGCACCAGGGTCCAATCTGCCCTGAGTTGCAGTGCACCCTCACTGACAAAAAAGAGACAGGCTGGTAGGAGTTTATCACCTGAGCTTGTGCACGTGCAGACCATGCATTCCATTATAAATTGGTTGTGCATACTTAGCATGCCCAATGTGCGTAAACCTGCGCACTCACGTAGAGAGTTCTCACCAACAGACATTGTTTCCATCTTAAAACCTGTCATCTGTTGCTCCCCCTCAGAACAGATTTTGCTGGTAAGCTCTGCAAGGTAATATAAATTATTAGTGAAAATGGGAACCAGCCAAAACATCATACTTCTCTACTCTACAATTTTTCTTTTCACTGGTTCCCCACTGACCTTCGCTTGGCATGTAAATTTGCCTATCTCTGTTGAGTCGCGTGTGATTTAAGGCCACATCCGGCATGGCTTTGGTTTTTTCCTGTCATGGTATATTTTACAAGCACTGTTGAATAGATAGCAAATTCCAAATTCGACCTTCTTCCTTAGTACTAAAAATTCCACAAAGAGGTGTTACCAATATGCTTGCTAGTCACTAGAGTACAGAAACAAGACAAAGCAACACTGACACTGGCCAGTAAAATCTCTTTGAGAGTGTAGGACAAGTCTGGGGACCGTCACCAACATGAAAAACATATTACTTCCAAAAATGTGTTTAGGTCATGTATTGCGAAAGTGATGAAAGTGGGAAGAAGAAAGGCAGGTAACCTTCATCATATCAGAATGTATAGGAAGAACACACCTATTCGGTCTGTAGTTGTAGAGACAAACAATGTTTCACCTACTTTGTAGGGACTGAATACGTTATGGGGACAGAGAAATGTCATTAGGTGGACATAGAAATGGGGAGGGGGTTGGCAATGGAGCACCCCCTTCCACAGGTGACTATTTTCTGCCCAACTTTAGCTCCCACTGGGAAAAGTTGTGGTAATACCCATGAGTAACAGTGCCCTCCCTGGTCTCTCAAATGCACCCTTTACCTCTGCAGATGAGAATCAAAGACATCCCATGCTCTCTTCCAACCGTTCTTTTTACAAACAAACCCCTTGTATTTTCTGCTGACCTCTGTGCAAAGTTCATACAAGAAGTCGGCGAGGCGGTCACAGAAGATGTCCCAAGTTCACCACTTGGAGTGAGCAGGAAGGAGCGGCGGAAGCATTCACAAGGCAAGGACAAACCACACCCAATGTCCCTGCAGGACTTCCAGGCTACGCAGTTGAGCAGCAACGGAGGGTTGGACGAGATACAAATACCCAAGGTGCAGTCAACGGTGGCTAAGCATTAAGACGTACTTTCAGAGCTAACAGAATTATTTTAGTTGACAAACACTTTTCTTGGTCACTCCAGCTGTGCTCCTTGTACAGTCACCTTTGTATCATAAGGAGTAGATAGTACTTAGAGTTGTAACAGTCAACATGTAACAGTCAACACACCACTGGTTTCCAGTCGGTTGTACCGAACACTGATGGCACACTAGACATCAAGGCGCAGACAAACTGATACTCCAGTTTGATGCATTTTTGTTTATGGTCAGCTATGCTGTGGACAATTGGGGCTGCAGATCTCAGAATAAGGAGAAAATGGGCAAAATGAGTGGCACTAAGTGAGAGAGACATCGTTGTACGCTGTTCATGCCAGAGTGCGTGTTTGTACAGGCCTACTCTGGCGAATCAATGCAGATGGTCGGCAAAGTTGAACTTTGCCAACTGTCGCCATCCCTGTTTGCATCAGTTGCAGTAAAGTGTTTCCATATGATTGGGTATCAACGGAAACTGATCAGCGATGCTCTCTGCGTCTCTTTACATCGATGTGGAAAACAGGCTTAACTTGTCCACAAGCAATTTTTTTTTCAAGCCTATCTGATTCCATAGTTGGCATGGTACTCATACAGTTTTAAGACATTCTTCACTGACAGTATGACTAACGTTTTGCAATACAGATCTTACCAGTCTGCCTAATTGTTTTCATCATAGTGTGCTCACACTTTAAATGATAAAACATTTGTATAATGAAAGTAGGCATTTTCATTTTGCGCACCTACTTCTTCTTGTGTTGATCTCAACAAAACTTAGCAAAGTCAACGAGTAAAATTTGTTCTAGTCAAGTCGCAAGTCACTTTTTCCCAAGTCAAGTCTCAAGTCAATAAAATTGCCACTGAAGTCTGACTTGAGTTTGAGTCAGCGATTCAAATCAAGTACGCTGACGGCAGTATGCTGTTGAATGTGGATCCACTTTGATTTGACTTCAGATGGGGTTGATCCTAATTCTGAAATGGAATTAACCAAAACATTCATTTTTTTAATGCACCCTGCTGAATTCAACAGAAAACTACAGCAAAAAATTGTGAAATATGTTGAAAGCCGACAGAATCCAACAGGTAGAATCTTTTGCTCACTGCTCACAACAAACTTCCACAGAAAGAACCCACTTTTGGATAATGTTCGGTTCAGCATCGTTAGGGTTGAAGCATATAAATGTGGGTATGACAGGAGGGTAGTTGGGTTGGCAGTTTTATTCAGAGAGTTAGTCCCAACTACTCCTCTGTGGGAATAAGAAAATGCTTTTCTGATTTGCCCCTCACTTTTTTTTTTTTCACTGAATCCAGAAACCAGAACCAGATCCACAGTTCTTCAAAAGAGTGGAAAAAGATACAGCTGAGATAATTACAAAAGAAGAGCGGGAAACCCTGCGAAAGAAAAATCAGGTGGGAGATTAGACCTTACTTTTCATTTTATATGTGTAAGATATTTAACCATTTGCTGCCGGGGAGCCTAGTTTGGGTGACGTTGGCTTTATATGCATAGCCGGGGTGGCCGAAATTGGACAAAGGGAATTGGGCCTTGTAACAAAAGACTGTACTTGGAACAAAAGACCGAGCAGTCAATAGCAGAGGAAATCTGTCATTGTTTTGAATGATTATACCACTGTTTGTGGCATTCAGCCCGAGCGGATGACCACTGGGGACAAAAGTGCTCCAGTGATGAGCGATACAATACCGCTGCACGCTAATCTGGCCCCTATTGAAAATACGCCAGCAGCACACTGTGTCAGTTTTGGGAACAAAAGAAAATTACATAACACCACACAATCCGGGCTCTTTTTACAAGGTAGCAAATTAGAGTAGCCACCATTAGCGTAGCCACCAGACAGTCATTCGTGTGGGTGTAAACGTCCAGTAAAAAAAGTCATGAATTGAAGAATTTTGAATATGGAAAATCTTTAAAATCTCCCCCCCCCCCACGGTATACGTCATGCAGCTTCAAATTAAACCTGGCAGCATACAGTTAAACTGTCATCATTTTTACAATTTTTTTGTTTTAATTAGGGCTGAAAGTTACCAAAAGGTATTCTTATCTGTTTTGAAGGAGCACCGTAGCTTGGACATTATTTTGCCCATTTCTTCCTCTAGATGACATCTTTTAATACATCTCTCTTCCCTTTCCTTTGTTTTTTTTTTCCATTGTGTGAGCAGAAATTGGCTGCTGAGAACGTGAGGCGGATACAATTTGAAGACAACCTGGAAAAGAGGGACCAAGAAATAGAAGAAATGAAAAGTGCCATGGAGAAAATGAAGGTGTGTGTAACGATCAGAGTCGCATTGAGAAGCACATTGCCATGCATAAAAATACTGCCATCAACAATTAAGGTAAACATGGTATGCGAGTATTGGCGCATGTATCGCATTGTTGAACCAGCCCCTGGAATGACAGGATATACAGATGCGGACACACTTCAGCTTGGTTTAGAGTAGGATTCTTGGCTAGATTAAGGGTTTCATGGGCCCATGGCACCGGTGTTCCATTGTCCCCACTTCATCCTGGGTACTTAATGCTGCAGCCCAGCATTTCATGTTGATGCTATGGCGGAATAAGCCGAGAACCAGAAAGTTCTGAACAATCTGTGTGAAAGCTTTTGCCAAACTGGAAATGAGAGAAATTTGTCATGCTTCTGCCTGAATGTTATGTTTACATATTAGGGTGCACCCAAGGCAAGTTTACAGGCACGCACACTTTTCGTAAGCCCTAGAATTTTTGTTGGCCCTCGACACAATGCTGACTGAGCATATTGGATAGTCTCGCTTTGATAGGGTTAGAAAAACATGCAAGCAGAGTTCCCACTGGCAAGTGTCAAACGGTAACCAAAGTTCTGAGCAAGACGTACATTTTTTGCAGAGATTGTTCATTACTAAATACAGTGTTCCCACCGCTTTGGACCAAAGTTTGTAAATACTCACCAGCTGGCTTGTGACTGGCAGCTAGAACTCTGCAGAAAGTGTACACCAGCTTAGGGCTCTGGATAACAATACACTCACAGGCCCCCTGTGCCTCGTTTACACTACCTTCCTAGTGCGGACATACGTTTCTTATTTGTGATCAAAGGACAGAATGTATGAAAATCTGTATTTCCACGAAACAAAACAACAAGATGGCGCAGAGTAATATTTCGATACATTCTGCTTCTTTTTCATCCCCGATTTCCTTTTCCTTTGAATTCAGGAGGAACTCACCCAAGTCAAGAAGAGAAATAAACAGCTCTGCTTCATGTTAGCCCAGGGAGAAAGTGAGTATGCCTTTATCCCTGTGAAATAAAAAATAACGAGTCGAAAAGTGATCTGACGTGTTCAACCCTAGCAGAATCTTTTCCAATTGCAGAAGATTGATTTTGGTCGAGATGTCTGGCCCTGACTTTTAGATTTGTATATTTTAGGTCATTGTAGTAAGCAAGCAGTTTGCAACAGTTTTGTTGTCTTCCATTTATGAAAAAAAAATGTTATTTGATGGGTATAATTCTATAGTTTCATTGTTTTCCCATCCCATACGAGTGTTTGCTTTCTCCATCCCATAGCGGTCTTTGTTTTAGTGTAAAGCTTTTAGAATCACTTTAGTATGAACCATTAACACACACTGAAATGCAAAAATGACTGTTTTTCAGGAAAAGTTGAGAAGCTGGTAAATGTTACTGTCAGTTTGTCTGGTTTGTATTCATTAGTGAAAGACAAAGCTGAGGTACTGAAGCAGGTCGATGAACTTTCAGCAGTCAAAGATGAACTCACGGCAGAGGTATGATGGTAAACGTAACAGTACATTTATAACAGCATGACTCAGTGTTTGAATCGGCTTAGAGGAAATGGATGCCTCAAAATCAGTTAGCTGAACTTTTGCCTTGTGTGTTACGTGAGTGACTTTAGATTAGTTGCCTGACTTAACTTCTTTTTCAATGTTTTCAGGTAGCAGAGCTCCATGCAGCCTTAGAACAGGAACGTTCCAAAGTGTCCTCATTGAAGGCCGAAATACAAAGATTACAAGAGAAGAAAAAGTGAACAGACAGAACATACCCTGATGCATGAGTGCCTAGGATTATTGCTTTGCTTTTTGTTTGTAGGATATACAAAAACAATGGGCCCTTTATTCTTTTTTTTTAATTACCACATTTTCTAGCAATAGTGTTTTAAGAATGTGTATTCTTGAGGTGTGCATTACATTGTGATCAAGAAGCAGCCCCTCATCAACCACTCGCAAGTTTTGAGAATATGGTCTTACGACAGGACTTTCCTTTTGGAATCGGATTTCACCTGGTAAAGTCTTGCAAGTTGAATGCAAAGCTACTAACCATAAGAGCTTCACTAGGCCTTCAGTTTAACCAACTTAGTCATAAGAAGATATTCATTGAGCATTTATTTAATGCAAACAGGGATTTGCCTACGGAAGAACTGTAAATTAAATCTTAGGAAAGAAGTTTATGGGAATAGGTCATGCAACACTTGGCGCAAACAGGTTGGTGATTTTTGCCCCTTTTTATGTCAATTGTGAATGTTTTACTTGAAATAAATTGTTAAAAGTCTTTATTCAGGAAATGTGAATCATTAAGTTTAAAACCATCATTTATTTATCATACATCATTATTTCCTTAAAGTTTAAATTTTTCTTTTCAAGACAAAGTTTTACATGAAGACAAACGTTAAACATTAATCAGTCATACAAGTTAAAAATTGAGAACAAACACATCAAATGGATATTATCCACTTAAGCAATTTGTGATGCCATTTTCACTTTTGTTATCGTGTTAAGCTAGGAAAGATTTATGTTAACAGCCTTGCAATAATACCGTCAGTAGTGATAGCTAAAAACAAGACGTGTCTCATTTTTAAACCTAAGTTTAAAGCATAGCCATTACTCTTGCTGTTATACTGTTTCTATTCTTTGAAACACAGTTAAAAGTTAAATGTTAATTTGTCAATTAAAAGAAGAGGTTTTGGGCGTATTCATTACGGGACATTGTTGAATCTTTTGACTATTCTGCATTATTTCCTCCTGTAAAAAGTAGCAACAAAACATAGTTAACCCCCCCCACACACCATCCTTTTCTCTGTCCCCTTATCTTTGCCAAATTTGCCCATTATCACAGTGGGTGGCCGTGGATGAATTAACTAGTTTGATTCCCCGGATGTAGCAATTCCCTACACGTGTAAATTGCAGGTCCGCTGGGCGACTTTTCTTCCGCAACACCCATGCTGTAAGCTAAAACCCCAGTGTAAAATTGTTTTCTGTTCAAAAGCACTTGGTTTGTAATTCCCTTTTTAGCCGGAACCTACTTTCGTTGTAGATTTCCGTTTTTTCAAATTCACGGCTCTGGTATATGTATCTTTTAAAAGAAGTTAGAGTACGAATTTTAACTGGGGAAGCTAATTAACAACAGATGTGTAGACTAGTCTCCTCTCAAGGCAAGCAATAAAATTTCCATCGGAATGTACAAAGTGTCTTCCCAGACTATTGTGAAAAAATAAAGTTCGCATCTGGCAGCGAGGAAAATAAGTGGCAAATTTGCATAACGTTGCCTCTACCAACAAAACCTCGGTAGTGCGCACATAGTGAGCTTGTTATGCAAAACGTTCTCTCGTAGCTGTTTCTTTGCATTCTCCGTCCAAGAGCCACATCTGTCATCTATCAGATGTGGATTTTTACGTTCAGGTCCATGCGCTCGTTCGCAGCACAACGCGCAGAATGATGACATTTGAATTTACGCGCGCTAACAGGTGGTCGTGTGGACTGGCCTTAGGTTGTTTGTTAAAATTCCGCTCCTTGCACGTGGACAACTATCTTCAAACTGCGTGCTGCCGGGCGTGTTTTCATGGTTTCTGGAGGTTCATGGTGCAGGTGAGTTAGATGTATTAAATGTAGAAGCAAGAAATATACATTTCACTTTCATGTTGTAGCAAATAACGGCTAAAATGTTCTTGGAACACGGCGTACTAGGTCTAGTTTTGGCGGACAGGGCGCAATAGAAGTTTTAACACTGTGAACGGCCTGGATGTGCTTTCTTTATACAAACTGACAAAAATGGAAAGGCGACTCGCCTGAATGTGATTTTGGTAGGGATTATCCAAAATCACATCAACACCACTAAAATCACATCCGAGTCAGAAATAGCAACCAGGATTATGTTGCTAAAGACCAATATCACATCCCCAATATAGTATAAATGCACACGTGTCGTGCACACCGAGCCAGAAGTATCGACCCGTGTTCAGAAGTTACATGTAATATAGACTCCATCCAATAAGTTCTCGACAAAAATATGTTATGTATTTGCCCTTCCCAGCGCTCTGCGCTGTATGGGTGGTTTGACAAGTGAACGCACGGATGTGAGGTCAAAGAGCTTGGCGATTTCAATCTAGTTGATGCTTTCACCTTCACTTCATTTTTTTTGCCTGTTGAAATCTCCTAAATCATAGCAGATTTAACGTCAGAATGATATCAACATCGAGGTTTGGTCCAAAATGGCAACACGTTGGCTAAAAATATGCATGGGCGTCACAAGAATTTTTTTTGTTGGGGGGGGTGGGTGGGTTGGGGCAAACCGTCCAGTTTAAACAAAAACATTTAACTGCTGGAAGAGGTTCGATTTTTCTTTCTTAAGCAAATAATTATGTTTCAATTCATTTCAAATTTTCATTTCTTTGGCTGTTTTCTTTTTTTTCCACCGTTCTTTTCAGGGTCCCCCCTCGCGGCGCCTCTGTAAATGGAATATTTAAGTCAGGACTTTTTTTTTTTACTTTAAATTGTAATTGTGATTGTTTATATAGTAATGTTGTAGTCAGCTCTACCACTTCTGAGTCCAAGACCTTGTGGCTCGAGTGAACGTGTGAGTCCGGGTCTAAGTCCAAGAAATCTTAGTCTGGGTCTTCCAATAAACAAAAATAATGTAATATACTGCACGTAAGAAACAGGCACAACCAATGCATTGCCACCAACCAGGTGGGTATTTCAGATAATGTAAGAATTTACGAGAACTGGCCGTTCCGAGTTACAGAATACAGTTTACAAACATATATGTAAAAATTACAGATGATTGGATAAATGGATATTTAACAATGAACCTGGGTACCAATATGCTTTTGCTTTTTTGGCAGTGCAGCTACTGAATATGTGCACTGATTGTTACTGTTTATACAGCACTAACAATTTGTCCTAAGATAGTTTTGGACTTTTTCCCTCCAAAAATCCTATAGAGCCGCTGATCACGTAAAGAAAGTGAATTAATCCTGCAATTTAACGTGGAATTGAATTAAAACATTTGAAAAATACCTGGATTTTTTTTTTCAGGGGGCGGGAGGACAAAAATGAAATTCACCAGCAAAGACCCACTAAGGATTAAGTCATGATCAGGCTCTGAAGGTCAACTTGATAACCACTGTGCCACATGTTCCGGGGGGGGGGGAATTTTCTTTTATTGGGGAATTACATCTTACTGCTTTAATAATGTCAGCTGCTTGACGAGGCATGTTTGACTGAATGACGGCAAAACACATCCGCCTGATTTGTATCGCGACAGTCATTTGCAGCTCCCACAACAAAAACAGCATCAAACATACACTGCAGACTGGTGCAAAAACAGGACATGTATGTAGACTACACCAGTGTCCATGCCCCGGCCTCAATTTTAAATAGCTATAGTGCAGCATCATTCAAATCTTTCAGTGCCACTTTAAAAAAAAAGTGTAAAGGGAAGAAACTTCTGAGAATCCATAGCTGTGAGCTGGACATTTTATTTTTTTAATGATCTTTTTTTGTTAATGTTCGTAGTATTCATTTCAGCCGTCAGTTTTTGAGTCAAGATTTCCAATAGGCTATGCGAACATTTAATTTCCTTAGCACAAAATAGGAAACTTATTATAGGTCTAATATAGTGAACATGCATGGTAAAGCCAGCTATATGAGAAAGTAAGCTGCCAGGACATTTCCCCTGGATATTCAAATTCAAAGTATGGGTCAAATTTTGGGAGAGCTTTTTTGGGGTGGGGCAAAATTTAGAAGATCGTTCTGGACGAGGATTCGGCTATTTATAGCCAAGGCAGGGACATTTTACTCACTTAGGAGATAAAGGGAGTCACCCGTAAATGCAATTACGATAATAAACTGCTTCTACTAAAATGCGCCAAAATGCAAATCTATCACATCAAGTTTGTGAAAATATCATTAGGCCTCCCCCACGTTTCAGAACTCAGTTGACTTACACTCACTGCAGACTGCAGTACTCTTTCGCAATAACAGAAATTCTCTTCTGTCTCGATCCTGTGATCCTAGTAAGTAATTTTTGTGTCACTTGCCCGGCCTAGCATCATTTGCCGAAGTTCTGACGGTTGGAAGCCAGTAAATAGGTCCAAAATTGCCTGCGCAAACCAAATCACCATTTGAATTCTCTGCTATCAGAGCCTTTCGTGGCACGTGGACTGCGGGGTGGTTTGTTAAAAAGGTGGATGAAAATGCAGGGGCAGGATTGTCAGCTTGTATTTCTGAAAGTATCGGACCGAACGGGGCCCTCCAAATTGCTCTTTTTTGCCTTGGAGTGTAGGCATCAATTTCCAAAAGGACCATGGCCCTCCTGACTGTTTTGACGGGTGATTTTCTCTGGAGAGAAATATCTTCAAAGTCATCGGTTAACTGAAAATTGAAAGGAAAATGAACGACGAGGAAGCGAGCTTTAATTTGATATGTGTCCTTAACACCTGTGAAACTTGTATTTTTCGTGATTTTTGAAGTGGGGATATTTTTCCCTGTTGTCTATGGCAACTTATTTACTGGTCTGGACCCTGAAGTTACTTCGACGCGCAAATACTAGTCGCGAATTCGGACGCCGTTTTTTTTTTTAACCGTACCCACCCGTTTCGTATTCCCCCCCCCAAAAAAAATTCCCACGTGCGCGTATAATGCACGAACGCCCTCTACAGGCGCAAAAATACATGTAGGCTTGTTTAGGATTCTGGCGTGTCTGGGTAGCAAGCTGGGCCTCATCCACAGTCCAACGCCATCAGTTTCCAGAATTTTGCCACCACCAGTCCAAGACGCCTGTCTGTGAAGTAGGAGTACATGTTCATGTGAGCGGTGTCCGAAAAAAAAATTACATCTTCAAAAATACCTAGGCCTAAGCCTCAAATTATTAAGTGTCGCATGCCCAGTTTCCTGACCAACCGGAAACCGTTAACCGGGCATGCCTATAATGGGACATGCGTTTGCGTAAGCCATGCATAAGCCTAGACGTTTGGCACTGAACATGCTAACTAATGTGTTTTATTCCTCCGTGCTTATATGAACATACCAGAATCCAGAAATACCCTGACGTTAAACCTTATCGACAGAGTCCTGACAAAGTGTTGAATCTAATCTAGTTTTGACCAAGTCACATGGCTCATGCAGATGGGTCAATATTTGAATAGCCTGCCGCATGAGTGATTTTGCACAATGGTAGAAAGGCATTGTGCAAAACCACCCACGACTATTAGCCGGTCATACTAATTACCGTCAACACGCAGCGGACTGTCAACACACCATCAACAAAGCGTCCAAACCTTTAAAACATGTTAGAAATCAAAAGAAGCAGTACTCAACAGTGAGTCAACTGTAAAGTGTCAGCCAAAAAGATATTTTGGCTAAACCTCAATAGGTTAGACTCAGGAAACTTGCCGTTTTAATTTGGTCGAACCAGCTCAGAAATCAGCAGTCATGTTGCCTCTAGGGCAACTGGGACCATATAATGATGCTAGAAGGGTGGTGATATTATTATATTTAAAGAAACGATGCCTTTTCCTTTAAGTTACTATATTTTTATTTTCTTAAGATTGAGAAATTGTCCCTTTTCATATTTTGACAAAAACTGTGTTAAATAAAATCTATGATGTTGTTTCTGCTACATTGATTTTTTCTCTCTTAAAAAGTATTTTAATTTACAGCATATCCACACCAAATGGTACAGTCCATGCTGCATGAGGAAGCAAGATGGCAGTGATTAGCTACGCTGCTAGAGATCATTTTTTTGTGTGTGAAAAAAACTCCATTTTGAAAATTGATTTGTGACCTCCAACTACCGGAAATTCTCTTTCAACCCAAGTATTACACTTCTACGCCCCTTTTGTAGATTGAACTTGTATTTTCGGGAAGTTGACGCTGTGTTGACGTTACTGTCGTGTGTTGACGGTGTGTCAGCGGTAATTAGTAAGACCCATATTGGCATTAGACTCTGTAGAGTGATTTCTCCCAGAGTATTGAACATAGAAAACAAATGTTAGGCCTTGGCTTTCATGGCTTCCATGGCTGTTGGCATTTTGGGGTTTGGTGTGATCAGCACAATCGCACAATTGCATTGCGCTATCAGTCTATTGTGTATAAAATCTCTGACTTCATTTCCTTTTTCACAAAATAATCTTCCACAACTTCTAATAAGAAGAGATTGGTAGAATTATTGTCAGAAAATCCTACAATAACAGGGACAGATCTAGCTTTCAGGAAATGGGGGAGGGGGGTGATGGACATACTGAAAGACCAACTCCAGTAATGCTAATTTTTCTCATATTGCATCCTAGTCAGAAGGGCCAAGTCTAATAAAAGTGGCACATATCAATATGTCCCTTGCAATACATGTACACGATTCTGTGTTAATAAAGCAGAGTTTTTGTACCCACTTTTCCTGGGAGTCCAGTCCAGTGTTGTAAAAATTAACATGTCATCACGACTCATTAGCATCTAATGAATATCGATTTCTATGATGTATTTCCATGGAGAGGAAATACCACAGTGTATGTGCGCTATAGGCATACTTAGCCCCGGACAACTGCAAAAACTTGAAGAATGCTCTCATTTTTCAGAAACTCAAAGAATTTCAATCCTGGTTCTTTTGCAGTATTTCTAGTACATCCACCAATGATGCATGGTTTCGGAAAAGAGATAATGTGGCACAGTAGACCCGGCACAGAGATGGATCCTCGGTATGCAGTGCTCACACATATAGCTCCATGTTCATGTACACATACGTTTGTAGGTCATGCCACGAATACCAGTTGCAATGTTTTCTCTGGTATTACATCATATAAATTTCGTTTCTCAACTGCACTGCCAGCAGTCACATCGTGGAAAGTTTTCACAAACTCCAAAGACACCAGTCAAAAGCTTTGGCAAAATCACAAAAAATACAGATGCAGACATGATTTGGTAAATTTATTACACACTTAATACAATACATTGTAATAGTTTATTTTCCAAACTTTTCAAACTGTTGGAGTTGGTCTTTAAGGGATGTCCTGCTAAGGGGATCCACCTGAAATCAATGTAATTGTTCAACTATAGATGGACAGATGGATGGCGCAATCCTCGTCTAGGATTAATTAATTTTTTTGGATAGGCCTACTCATTTTCCATCATTTCAGTGGTAGTGCCATGGCTAACGGGGGTTGCAACCCTCCCAACCCCCTTTCTAGATCAGTCTTGCAGATCAACTGATCATGCCCATCATTCGTATTTAGTGAGATTATGCAGCTGCTTTTGTTTAAAAAGCCAGGCCTGGCAAGCATTGAGCCAATCTTGGATGAGTTTAGTGTACAGTCATACAAGTTCATGTACATAGAGAACCAACGTGCTTGCCAATGTTGCAGTAAATAATACTATGCCATCTGTTTTGCAGTCAGTGAGGATTGATCAATTTCTTGGGCTTTCTGTTTGTGAGCACTGATAAAGGGGATATGAATAAAATGAATATTGAATATGAATATGTAGAGGGGATATGAATAAAATGAATATCAATTGTAACATTTTCAAAATGCGATAACCAAAGAGCTTTATCATTACAAGACTTTCGGTGAATATTTTTCTTGTCTTTTGTGACAGGTTCTAGCCACTGTCAGCTGGAGTGGAAATTTCCATTATGAATAGCATTCAGCCTGCTGCACATTTTCTGATTGCATATTGAAAGCATTCACATACTTTTCTACCATCCCTCCATGGCCAACATGATGGCAGCACATCTACATGGTACCATGTTTCAGGTCCATGTGAAAAATGTGGTACGATGTCTTTTCAGGTGCAATTTTGTGTTGAAGGGTACTCATGGCCCCTGCGGGAGACACAGAACTGTTTGCTGGCGCACATCAAGTTCTGTCGCGAAGCCTCTGAGTTTGAGCCTGAACAGCTCTGGGGTGTTTATAAGGCTGTTGTGTAGTGACACAGACCTGCCGGTGAAAGCCAAGAGGGGGAGGAAGGTAACAGTGCCGAATGAAGAGACCAAGCGGTACTTGACTTTCTTAGGACTGGACTGTGATCTCATCCAGCAGAACCAACCCATGGTGCTCGTGGAAGATGTTTCCAATGTCCAAAACCGTGTCAACTTCCTGCAGAATCTGGATTTGAGTGAGGCTGAAGTTGTCGCCATTCTGAGGAAGTCACCAGAGCTTTTGAAAGTGGATGCCACCAACATCCAGGAGCACATACAGTTCCTGCAAGATTTGGGGCTGGAGGGTCTCCTCATCTTGAACATCTTCCAGCGAGTGCCGCGATTTTTCGCCACTCCGCTGTCGCGGATCAGGTCCAACATGGAGTACATCCAGAGCTTGAACCTAACCAACAAGAACTTGCGCATCCTTCTGAAGTACTTCCCGAGCCTGTTCTACCGGCGAAAGAATGGTGTGCGTTACATCGGAGAGTGCCTGCGGCGCGTGGTGTTGGAGCATGACCCTAGCTGCAACGCGGAGACGGCGCTAAGGTACATGATCCGGAGTGACCCCCTCCTGTTTGGCCGCACTGTTGGGGAGATCGAGCACCACGTCCAGCACCTCATCAGTCTCGGCTTCACTGGTGTCTCCTTGGCCAAGATCATCCGCTTCTGCCCAAGCGTCCTGAGAATTGGCACAGGGTTCATCACCGAGCGGCTCCTGCTGATGCAGAGGTGTCTGTCGCTCAGCTCTGAAGAGTCACTAGACATGGTGATGCGCCTGCCTAAGATCCTGAATGCCTCAGACCACACCATAGAGACCAAATGTGACTACCTCTTCAAGAGAGGTTTCGTGGCCGCTGACATTTATCGCAATCCGAGGGTTCTGAATGCCAGTCTACAACGGATTGAGAGTCGGCTTGATAAGTTGGAAGAATGCAACTTTCGTCCCAAAAGTCTGAGTTTCATTCTGCAAACGGACGATTGGTTTGAGAATTTTCTTGAGGAGATAAAGCAGAGAAAGAAAATGGATCATAAAACAGAGCAGACCAGTGAGAAATGAGAGAAAAACAAATGTTGCCAGTACGGTGGAGTATTTTCACTTGTCTATAAACATTGCTGGCTAAAAATGCAATTGTGCATTGGACCAGTTTGATACATGTATCTTGTATGCATGTCAAGTGTAATCTGAAACTCATACTACACTATACTGCCCAGTGCTCACTATTCACCGGGATAAAAATTCATTTACACTCAAGTGTATAAGTGCACTTGTGTAACTCCTGATTATTCACCCCGAGCAGAAGCGCACCCCCTCATCAGTTGAAAAGAGCCATATTGGTCGGGAGGGCTCATTTTATTGGTAGTGATGCGACTGCATTGCTTGCATTTTGTAGTCCTTCATGAGTTCAGTGATACGCAATTACTTCCAAAGGAGCCTCCGCTGCTTGGTACATCTGATGAACATTGTTTCAGTTTTGTTTGAAATACAGTTTTGCACATTTTTCTGATATTTTGGTTGCAGAAATCATGGGAGAAATAGCTTAAAATTAAAAAATCACACAGCAAGCATATTGCAGGAACCCTTGCGTGGCCTGCCTATGGGGATTTCACATGGGGCCATCCTATCATGATCAAATGATTCAAAAATCACTCCAAGAAACAATCATGTCCTAATTTTATCTTTGTGTTCCTCGAGTAATATTTTGGAAAAGTTAGCTGGGTTCTTTCCTGCAGAGTCCCAAATATTTATAAAGGCCAAAAAAAAAAGGCAAGTCACACACCAGTTCGTCAGTTCCACTCACAAACTTTTTATTGGCTTTCATGAATTTGCAACTGGATGTTTTCTGTAAATATCACGTCTATATTTCCATCATTAAAACAAACTGTTATGCAATTAATGATAAAGGTAACCAAGAGATTCGTGGTAATACAAAAAAAGCCAATGTTTAAAACATTTGGTCTTGCAACAGTCAAAAGTGGAAATAAACTGCAATGAACTTGGAAACTTGTGTTTTTTCCCTGCTGAAGTTTCTTTGTAATATATACATGTATAATTATGTACATTTTGTGGACGGATGAATTACTGCTTGCCAAAATAGTTCTTGTCATAGAGACAGACAACTGCTCAGTTTTACAGCCATTATAAAAGTACATGAACAGGGAACTTAATAGTGTACATACAGGTATATGTTTAAATATGCAACATGGGTGATAAATGAATGTACAGTGTACATGTACAAAGATTTACACGTACATGTTTATCTTGAAAGCAACAGAATTGAATTGAATTAATAGCAAAGTTTCGTTCAATAACCCTAACAGTCCCAAATCCTCCAATTTCAATACGATTTTACATACACCCTCGGGTAAGCACATTTACATAGCCATTGCTATAAATATAAATACAACCACATAAATGCACCCATGGGAAAAAAAATCCATGGAAATCTTACTTTGTCCCATTTGGAAAAGCTTCATGTTTGAAATAATGTCATTTCACATATGTGCAAAAGCATGGAGGCCTCGTCAAAGTTCTTTTTATTACTGGATAAACAAATTTTTTCATGTTCTAGGAATGCTTACCTGGCATCCACAAAATTTGTAATGAATGAGTGTGCTCTCACATTAGTTCAATAATCTAAAATTGTACATTTAGTCACTGGAGTATCAGAAGTACAGCAAGACAGTGTGTCAAGTATCTGCTTGACATGCCAAGCATGGCATTTTTGTTAGTTAGCCTGCTGCTAGGCGATCATAAGCTCTTTTCTCAGTTGTCCTTGTTGGAGGGTTCACGCACCAGTGCCAGCAGTTTGTCCATTTTGGCGATCTCCTGCTCTGGGCCTCGTTGTAGCTCCACCCCTTTCTTGTCCTGTGGGGGGGTTCACATTAATACTCTGTATGAGAACAACTGTTTTCTCATGACCCCTAATGAACACATGTACTCCTTCCTTACAATCCTGATTTGCAAGTATATGTAGCTGAAACTGACCATATCACTGTTGTAGAAAATGAACAGTCCTACATATAGAAGCCAGAGCACTGCACCAAGTACAGGTACATGTATGTACATTCTGAACATCTTCATGAACACGGTGGACCATGATGCACCTTCTGTATGCATTCTCTGTAGCCCATGGATTTTTTAGTTTGAATGAAACTAGGAATCAGGATTTTTTTTTCAAAATTAATATCAGTATAGATGAGAAGCAAAAAATGATATAAGAAATTGGCTTATCCAAGGGGAAAAAAGCAAGCCCGATTAAAAAAATAAAATTTTATTTTACCTAGATGTTCTCATGTTTACATTTTCCCTACATGTTTTGAAGTTCCTTGACTTTAAAGTGGCCTTTTGTACATCCTTGGAATATAAAGCACTTTGTTTGATTTTTCACTTTAAAATGAGGTAAGATAATTTCTTGTGGTGTCACAAAGCCTTTGCTGAACAAATACTGAATTCTGAATACAGTACTCATAATCATTCCCTGCGTGTAATGGTGGTGCAATCTGTGATTAAAGTGCTCAATGACACAAGTACTGTTGATACAATCTTACCATCAGAAACATGTCTCTCTCTTACCACATGCTTTAGTGTGTGACTGACACAAATGTGGGTGCTTGTGATTGTGTGGACATAAATTTCTTTATGACAATTGGCTTGGTAGTGAACTTGGCAAAACTGTGGCAGCTTGTTTTAACGTACAAGTGACTTGAGTGATTTTAAAATACACGGCTTTTGAAGTGCCAAAGCTGTGTTGCTTTAACATTTATAAGGTGTATTTTTAGTGATTTTTTTAAAAGTGATTTAAAGTGATTTTTACTTTGTCAGAGTGAACTTGAAATATCAGTAGAGGACCAGGTAGGGTGATGAAAATGCTCAGTGACGACAACACCGTCAATTCCAAATTGTGCATACACAATTTAACCTCCTTAGTCTGGGGACCATTACAAATATGATTGTGCACTGGTATGTGCGTGCCACCGTGTTTCGTGTGTGTGTGGGTAATACCTGTTGAAGCATCGTCATCTGCATGTCCAACTTTTTCATGACCTATTGTCCATTGACAGAAGTCCACAGATTTGGAGGAAAGCAACGGAACGTTAAAATTAAGGCCACATGTTTTATTTGTTGACTACGATGGGAACGCCACATGTACACTTGAATGTAGTGAAGCCTGACTGTTTAAGTAACAAATCATTAGTTTCCTGCCATTTTAGCATAGATCTTTTTGGAAAGTAGTAATGCTTGACAGAAAAACATCCTTTGACAATGTCTTTTGATACTTGAAAATTAACACAAGAATAAATATCAGTTTGTGAGACTCGAGGATTGAAGATGGATGACAGTCTGGTTTGCAAATTAGCCAGTGTACCAACATGTCGGAAATGCAGTACAGCTGACATTTGTAATCTGACAAAAAGCCAACATTTTTCAAAACAATTTGATGACAATTTCATTTGCCAAATTTTCTAGACTTTTCGAGGCTATTTCTGAGTGGCATAATCGGGGCTAAATTTCTAGAAGGGCATCTGGGGGTACACACATTTTTTCAAGGGAACACCACAAGAAAATAAGCTGCAGCTGCATTACAACGGACATTATTCAAAGATTTAAAGCAGGGGTTACCCGGGGGGCCACAGGCATCTGCTGGGGGGGCAAAGCACATGCCCCCACGTAGTTAAGCCCCTGCTTTTTCTTTGGAAAGACAAGATTTATCACCACAATTACAAGAAATGTTGCAAGTTTGATTGTAAACATTACAGGGATATTGACACTATTATTTGACCGTAGAACGTCTGGAGGGAAATTTTTCAATTTATTAGAATGACCCTACCTTTGGAACTTTCCTCAGGTTTGGCGACAGCTTCAGGCTAGTCACGTAGCCCCTGAAATTAATGTAAAATGTTAATGGTAAATAATTCAAAGCCACAAAAGGTAGAGAAAAAGCTATCAGGTTGGTTGTCTTGACCCATGAAATTAATACGTTTAAAGAAAATAGAAGTGGGACCTAGATACAAAATTCCAAGATATGCAGGTCCATTCACATGTGAACTAGAGAGAGTACTCTGTTGCATTCCATGGGATTGATGCACCTTGTGCACAGGGGTAATGTTTGTCTATAATGCACCAGTCAATTAGGTCTGTGTGTGCCTTGAACCCAGAAGCCTGTGTGTGCTCTGCGCCCAACACCCACCCAGGTGCTCCAGGTAATGGCACTGATGTGCCAGCTGGCTTTTCAGCCTCTAGATCCCTCTCCCACCACAGTGAGGTACGTGTGTGCCTTGTCCAAAACATAAACTATCACTCCAGGAGATTAAGCTTGTACCTGTCATCACCGACCAGGATGATGGGATGGTTGGGGTTGAAGGTTATGTGGGTAAGCTTGGTCTTTTTCTTCTGCACGACAGCCTGTTCACAGATTGGCTCGTACTTGTTGATGTTCAGGTCAAACACGTGCACCTTTGACCCAAAAAAAAAATCACACAAACAAGGTGACTCATTTTGAAATTCCGAGAACTGAAGTGAGAAGACATTTGCAAAGTAAACAAAAGCACTGAAACACATTATGGATTTATCAAAATGACCCTTTTAAAACCTTTGCAGCTCGGCATGGTGACTGAATTTATGTAATGATCAAACCAAGTCACAGATGAGGTCAAACTTTACTATCAGTTGTTGGTTGCGTGCATGGTGCTCTGCGCCAAGTGTGTGTAATGTCCTGTTGTATTGACAGGGATCTGTTTTTCATGATACTTACCTTTCCATCAGCTGTGACTGCTGCAAAGACAGTGGAGGAGTAAGGGGCCCAGGCTACGTCACCTACAGAGCTACCCAGGTCAAAGGTGAACATGGCTCCATTCCTGGGGGAAAAAATGAAGTTGCAAGTGAAAGTCATCAAAGTCTCCGGGATCAAACAATAACACTGGTGAGTTTGAAACAGCAACAAAATCAAAATGTTGTTGTCTGTGCCGGATCGGCTGCAATGACTAGTAATTAACTGCAATCTTGTGAGAAGGTGAAATGCATGAAGTACAGTGAAACAACTTACTGCAGGGTTTACAACTAGAAATAAGCCAAATTTGATAACAGACATAAGACAATGCCTAATTACCTAGAGTATGGGAAATTTACTTGGTTCTGAAAAACCCATTAGTCATCTCACTGAAGGGGACTGTATTAACTATCCAACTCTGAACAGAAATGTACTGTGAGACACCCTCTTCACTTTGTATATCTCAAACTCATGAAAATTTCTCGGAGGAAAGAGAACAAAACAGATGAAATATCTTGTAAACTTGATTTTGTCAAATTATTGCAATATTTTCAATCACTTGCAAATGCTTTTAGATGTATTTTTTTTAGTGATTGCATGTAGCTGAAATACCCTACAATCGTTCGTTCAGTAGTATTTACTGTTTTAGTGGATTGTACAGAACCCTGAGATAAATTTCTTTGGACAGCACTTCAAAAGAAACCATTATTAACCCTAACAGTCCTCACCCCTTAGATTCCAATATGATTTGACATACACCCTAGGGGTATAACATCCCAAAGAAATCAGGGACAGTAGCACTGACCTGTAGGAGTGGTCCCAGATCTTGACGGTCCAGTCCGCGCTGCAGGAGATGAAGATCTTTGGGTGGTAGTAGTTCCAGTGGACCTTGTAGACGGCCATGTGGTGGGCGTCAAAGGTGTCCAGGAACTGGCTGGAGTAGGCCTTGGAGCACTTGTGGATCTTGCCCTCCTCGGTGCCCACCAGGAACAGGTAGTCGGTCTGCTTGTGGAAGTCAAAGCAGGTACCACAGCCTGAAGAGGGAGCCAGGAGGGAGTGGGAGAGGGTAAAGCTGGTCAATCTACTTGTGGCTACACTCTTCCAATGGCCCCCTAGGCACTTCAACTCACTTGTAAACTCCCAGTACTTGTATTCATAAAACAGTATGACTACAAGACCACCTGAAGCTTGGCGTTGGGATTGATTTTTATCTGAATGTAGGTTTTCATTGTGACAAATGTTGGCACTCTTGCAAACTGTATCAATCTCATGGGAGCTAACAAAACTTGAAAGTAATGATGGCAGTGCACATTCTGGCCAAAAGACAGTAAAACCTATTTTCCATTAATGCCTTGATATCTTTTATCTCTAGGAAGTATCTTGTACTTGTGTTTGTGATGGATTTGGCACAATGCTAGTCTTTTATTAGCATTTTTGTTTATCATCAAAAAACAAGTCAGAAATGCTAAACAACGAAGGACTAGCAGAATTTTATAAGCTTGACCTGTAATTATGGAACTTCAACTGGACTATGTATGTAAGTCATACTGAAAAAAAAAGATTAAAAATAACGACAATTCACAGTTGGTTTCCTGGTATATCTGTGACTTGCTAGAGATTCTTAACGATCAACTTACCCAACGGTGTCAGCTGTGTTCCTTCTGGTCCTTCTTGGGGTGCTTCATCTAGTTTCAGTTGGATCACATCTGTGTATGTTAATTCATTCTGACAAAAAAAAGTAGGAAACTGTCAAACGATTGAAAAGGCAAAAATCAACATGAAAAGAAAATCAATCTCAAATGCAAATTGTAAGGTAATTCTGGAGTTTATCAACTAACCTTGACGAGAGTCCAAGCCACCACCCGGCCATCGGATGATACAGAGAAGAAGTTGAGGTTGTTGTCTAGGTCATCCTTCTGCCAAGCCACCTACAAGCCACACAGAGGACAGAAGAACGTAAGCACTGTTCTGATTAGATTGTCCTCTGTCACCTCAGACAGCATGTCACTTTGCAAATCATCTAGACAGGGTCTACGTTCAGCCACAGACGCTGTGAGGTCATTCTCGTTCTTGGCCCCTAGACTGTGGACTAGCCTTTCAACCATAACATTTGCTCCTCCTCGAAACATGCCTGTTCGGTTGATATCTTCTTAAAGTTTCCCTTTAGTGTTCTTTGTAAATTTTGTGTGCACAGTGTATTTTTTGTAGTAAAGTGCAATGATCAGATATTTGAAAATGTACAATGTAAACACTTGTAGTATTATCAATAAAATTAGGACAACAAAGTTTCATGATGTTTAGATACTTTTCAATACCTACTAAGCAGACTCACCTGCCATACTGGATCTGTGTGCTTGCCTGTCTTCGCGGTGCTCTGGTATATGGGTTTGTTCTCCTTGTCCGTCACGTTGTACACAGCAACCGAGCCATCGTAGAACCCCACAGCCACAAGGTAAGGATGCTCTGGGTGGACATCCACGCACATGACGCCACTGGTGGTAGGGTAGATGTGCTCTGGGTAGGAGGGGTTCTTGAGGGTGTAGCACAGGAGCATGCCTCGGGACTGCTTCATGAAATCATCTGCATTTTCACACGAGAGCTATACGAGTGCATGTTTATCTTGTTTATTGTTGAATTCAAACAGCACCAATCTCACCTACAGGTATAAACCCTGCGAGTCAAAGGTGGTGTGAGGCCATCCTTTTTTTATAAAGACGTTTGCAATGGGTTTTGAAAAGATAGATGAAGCACACATGGAGTGCAGTGGATCTCACTGCTTGCCTTGAGTTTACCATACTTAAGACTGAGAAGGGTTCTGATAAACATACCAGAGTACACTGCAAATGTGGGCGTAAGTGGGACGTGAAACTTGATAAGTTTAGAGGGTTACACACTCAGAAGTTTAATGCGCCTTTATACAATGCTTTCTGCAATTCAAGTTCTGTAATGTACCTGACAGATTAACGCACCCACACTGACGTTGGCCCCATCATCAGTTTAATAAAACCTTTAATAAAAACTGAAATGAAATTTAAGAATGCAACTAATGTACTTACAGGAACCATGGGTGACCACAAACAGATCCCTGTATTTGGGGTTCCAGCACAATGACGTGATGGCCAGTCTCTTGGCTTTATCATAGCCAAACTTCCACAGCGGCAGCAAGGTACCTTCTGAATCACGGTACTCATCCGAGACATCCTCCCAGTACTTGAAGTCTAAAGACAGGTGAATTGAACAGTTATAAGCTGTCAGTACACAATTATAAATTAAAAAGTCAGACAAACAAATCTGGTGATTCGATGCTATGCAAGACTTTGTACAGCATCTTCTGATACGTAATGCCCCATGTGGGGAGTTGAAAAGTAAGATACCAGCTTATCCAAGAAGATGATTGCCTAATAAGTATCACTAAGTGTTAAGCACTTGCATTATAGCACCCCCTAAAAGGCTAAGATATCTCACAAAGTGCCGGTATTTACTCAACAGGAAAGTATGCAAGATTTGAAAGTGTACTATTGAAACTGATTTTTTCACAGGAAAAGCTGTGTATCTTGGTTATAATATGTGGCAAATTAGGCTTGAGGCTTCGACTGGTCAATGCCTAGGTATGTTCTTAGTGGGTTTTTATGGTAAACTATTGTGTAAATTAATACATTTTAGCATTCAATCCATAGATTCTGGTACGAAATGTGCGAGTAGAAGGAAATGAGAATACAAGCTGACCCTGGGAGACGTCATCAAAGGTGTTCTGGTTGACCATGCGTTCAACAATCTTAGCGGCATGGCTGATGCGGGAGATGTCGTCCGTCTGCGTCTCCATGGCAGTCAGCTTCTTCTTGACGGTACCCTCCTCCTTCTTGCTTAAGGTTTGCTTCTTTTCCTTGGCTTTCTCCTAAAAGAAATCCAGTGTTTACAAACAAATTAACAAGGTGTTGAGACTCACAGAGGATATGCGCGAGTGAAGGCAAATGATTGGGTGAGCTGATGCAGTTGGATAGAGATAACTTGAACCATGGTGAGAAGTCTGGGTGCAATGACACACTTTATGGAAACCACCTGCAAATGGATACACTCAATCATTCACTCCCCCATATCATCTGTTACTTGGAATTTCTACGGGCAAATAAAAACACTGCACATGCAAACAAGCAATGTAAAGCTTGCTTTTGAAACAAACCCAATTTGTGAAGTTTGCAAATCAATTACAAAAGTATTTTTAAAACACTAAAGTTGGCACAAAGGAGATTAGAGTGAAACTTTAACCCTAACACTACTCAGTCCATCAACAGGTGAAGGATTGAGGAGGGTTAGGGTTAATCAAACAGCTTGCTTTGCAGAAAAAATGTAAAAAGATGCATTCACTTTAAGTGCAGACTCACACGTACATGTAACAGCATGAGTTTGATATGACTCATTAAGCTCTAATTAAACCATTTTCATTTTATGATGGCACAGTTGATTTCAAAAAGATGAAAGCTTGTCAGCAACACAGAGAAAAAAAAGAAAGAAAATATTGAAAAGAGAGCAAAGCACTGACAACAAATGGAAGCAAAAACTTGAGTAAAAAAGGTTCTAGATATGTTGTTCAAAGCTTTTGAACTTCAAGAACTGCAACTAATCTAAAAAGCATAAAGCAAAGCAATCACAGCAAACTGAACAAAAGGAATTCATTCGTCATATCATTCCAACCTCGGCCTACACATTCCCGGTGCAATCCAAAAAATCAAGCACAGCCCGATGCCAACGTTGAAGAGCCATGGTTCAGCCATGGTTTGTGATGAGAGGCAAGCAGATGCAGAAGACGCAAGGGACCAAATAAAAAAAAGGATGGCAATATATATACGTCATGGTTTAGATTATTACAAAAGTATGTGCAGGTAGTAAAAAAAAAGGTGCTGGCTTGAAGGATAAAAACTGATTCTTTGATACACATATGTGGAATATTGTCACTGGAGCAAATCTATACCCCCTTAAGGGACTGTGAGTGACCAGAAGAGGGTCATCTTTCCTAGGGCTAAAGGCCAAGGGAAATAGGACTCTCTTCTGGTCCAATGTGCATGTGACCAAATTAGTCAAGTTCTTGTGTGCTTCTATAATACATTTCAGTCCAAATTATAATATACTTCAGCAATTATATATGCACGATGTCTTGACATGCTTTAGCTCATGTCAATGCAAATTTTATATACGTACACCACACATGACCACGTTTCAGCCAACCAGGATTAAGAACCAGTAAGAGGTGTGTTAAGGTTACAGAAACTGAGCAGTTTTGATAGTGGTTATGATTTAATAATCTTTATTTCCTTATTACAATCACTATGACACAGCATGGTTATGGACTTTTTTGAGTGATTTATAATTTTGATTTGTCAAATGAATAGTATGCAAGAATACAAATTTTCTTGAGCGAGGAAGGTGTGGAAAAGAAAACTCTCACAAAATGGACAAATGCAATAGCATTTAAATTAATGTTAATGACATCTTTAACATTAAAGGTTTTAATGATTGCAACTTCGTAAGATAATACTATTTTAACTGAATAGGACTTGTAACATGAGCACACCTGTTTTTCTTGATCCTCCTTGTAAGCGTCATAGATCTCCCACTGGTTGCCAGTGGCAGAGAAACTGGCTCTGGGTGGTGGCTCAGTCTGGGTGGCTCGCTCCTGAGATGTCAAAGATAAAAACAGTAGATACATCAATAAATGTAAGCATATTTCCACTCAGTTGCGTAACTAGGGGGGACTAACTGAGAGACACTCGGGGGTGTACCCATTTTTGAAAGGGCGTACTGAAAGTAAATTAACTGTGGCTTGCACATTAGGTTGTGTGCATTCAAATTCAAATGGAAGGGGGTCACAGCACGGCACAGACTTCCCCTGGAGTGCACCTGTGTCCTCCTGTAGTTGCACTACTGTCCACTTACCACTGCTTGACCCTTACTACTGTTAACACACGCGAAAGCATGAAGGACGACTCATTTAGTACATGTGAACAGAAGTGAAAAGCCTATCATTGGTAGATGGACAAAGAGTTGAGAGAAAGCAACATATTTATGATAAGCTCTATGTAATTTCTGTTCTCAAAAATGTTCTAAATGGCAAAGGCCAGTACGATGCACTGGATTGCTCGCTAATTATTGCAGTGCACAGCAACTAATAACCCTCCCGCTGTAACCGTCAAAAATTCCTTCCACTTGATTTGCCCCAGTAGACAGACACATATGGGAAATTTGACTGATTTTGACTGATATGACAACTGTGTCAAGAATGTATTGTTGCATAGGAGGGTTAATCCCTGTCAACCAACGGTAATACACACAGGAACATCGGTGATTAAGTGAGCAACTCACTCTGTATGGATTGTTGTAAGTCTGAGAAGCCCTCTCGCTGAAGTTGAACTGGTTGGTCAACTTCTTGTCCGATCCCTTGGGAGGGGCTGGGGTGCTCTCCTCATCCCTTTTCTCAGCGCCTTCATCCCCCTGCAAGAAATTGGAAAAGCCGTAAACTTTGAAATGAGTGTGTGTGCATTGGTGTAACCTTTATTGTGGTAGGGGGAGTAAAAGAGGTTGTTGACATTCCTGTAGTTTTTTCTTTGTTAACTTAATAATTGAAGTACGGGAAGTAAATGCCTGGTGCCACCAGCTGCTCATCCCACGGTGCCTTACCTCTGCTTTCTCCTCGCCTTCTTCGTCCTTCTTTTCCTCCCCAGCCTCACTAATGGCCTGGTCACTAACAGCTGCATCAAATGAAACCAAGAAATGCGCCTTTAATATCACATGCATGACATTACCAGACTTTGGTATCTGGTTTGCGTAACTGTAATAAAACTGAACAAACACCCACCCCAAAAAGCCACCCCAAAAACAATGAAAATGGAGAGAGAGGGTTTGTTCAATTGGATGTGCTTCTGAATGTTCCAGTCCTCTACAGTTGGATTTATGCCTGTTCTGTGTTCTTCACTGACACAGTAACTAGAAGTAAAATTGGATGAAAAAATAGAAATCTAACAGTAATATACAACATGTTTCCTCCTTGTCACTGCAATTACAGAAGATGAATGCATGTACAGGTGTGTCATGTATGGATGTACATGACATATATATGCAATTATTAGCAGCAAATCATGTTTTCATCTAATCATGGCAGTGTACCTGTCTATAAAGAACCAGAAGACCACTACAGATTCTACCATTTCTGACAATATTAGAAAAAAAATTTGTAAGGGCTGTTATCGAATTGAATGAATTTTCTTCTGAAATAAGCCATGTTTTATTCCTTTGGTGAGAGCAGAATGATCGAAAAGTAGGCAGTTGCACATTAAGGCCCTGGTAGCCAATGGAGCTATCCCACAGAAATCTGAGTTTGAGTTATAACTGGACTGAGCAGGTATCAAATGGATTCTGGTCCTTTGTAGACAAGTCTTAATGTTGATGTTACAGTGATCTAATTACCATGAAATACATTATGGCAATGAATGGCTGGCAGTTGACTGCAGTGAGTTGCATGCATTCAGCAAAGGCAGGTTTGTTGCATTTATGCCAATTAATTGTTATAGTCCTAATCTTCCAACAGGTAAAGGATTGAAAACTGTTAGGGTTGATGTGATTGTAGACAAGGTTGATGTGATTATGGGCAATTTGGCATGTCTACTAAAGTTAGAGTCATAAGGACACACTGAAATTCCATTTCATTAACAGAGTGTGAACAATCTTAAAAATTTCATCAAGAGTGGACAAGAAATGGAAAAAAAAAGACAAGAAAAAAAAGGCTTCATATCTTTTTTTGTTTGTAATTCTACTGAATAGATGCAATCAGATTTGGCTCAGATAAGACGGAATTATTTAAACAAAAAGTTTAATTCTGATAATTTTGTCCACTGAAATGAAAATTCTCTTGAAATGGAAATTCAGTGGCACTGGTGTTGAGTATCTAATAATGACTTCCAGATTCCACAGTAACAAATCAACACGTACAATACATACAAAAAAGCACACACACAATACACCTACTACTAACACCATTCAGACTGTACAGTTTTTGTCTTGAACAAATGCAGTTTTCAACAAACGGAACCCTAATAAATTTTGACTCTGTGAATTAAGATATCCATGCTGCACAGAGATTCATTGCATGCATTAATTCAAGGCTTTGCTGCTGATATTAGAAAGCATCTCTATGGCTCTCATAGTACTTCTTGTATATGGGTTATCATCACACTGCCACACACAGTGGCAAAGCTTTTCACTGACTACACTGGACAGATCTAACATTTCCCTAAATGGTCTTGGTGTTCCCTTGAAATATTCACAAAGACATTTCCAGATCATAAATCAGGGCCAAGGCATTTGCTTTAAAAATAATTTAAATTATATCAGAAGTGCCTCAGGGTAACATTTCAGTAAGAGAGTGGGAAATCTTAACACTGCAGGCAAATGGAAGCTTTTTTTGCCTTTGTTACCCATCTATGAAATTCCTGTTTCAGCCTGGGTGAACTATACAATTTTCAGGATACTTTCTACCACCACCGCTCTCGTGGCAGCCATTAGTCATGGTTGATTTGAGGCAGAATCAATGACCCCATGTGTGGAAAAAATGAACATTGCAGGAAAACGGCTCCCTTATTGGACCAACAAGACGGGTCTTTGGGTGAGTGGTTTACCACTGATATTTTTGTTAACTTTCATGACTAATATCCTGTGCCCACCAGTATGTGAGTGCCATGCACCATGTGAAAGATACGCACATTGCTTCAGCAGTCACGTGCAATATGACAATATTCAAATGGTGAATGTTTAGAAGTGTAATGGTAAACATAATTTCATGAGGTGGGAGATGGAATTTGTCCATTCTACAATATGGAGCCAAGTGGAATGAAACATATGCCACCAGTCGCCTCCTGAAATTATTCTTCCACTGCACAAACGCAAAACATTCATTATCTGCTGACCTTGCCGCCTGAATAAATCCCTGCATCACTCAAATAAATCCTGAATCCCTGCTTGAATAATTTTTGTTTTGTTTTGTTTATTTGCTTATTTTGTAAAGAGCCTCTTATTACACAACCACTAAATTGACTAAGACGTGGGAAACGTCATTTAGCCTTGTTCAGAACAACTTTGCTGAGAAAAAACACGCAATAGAACTTCCATTTACTATAGAATGGAATTTCCTTTTTTTTTCAGTGTGGCTGTGTCTTTTACTGGAACAAAATCATTCTACAGCGTGATCTCAAAACCACCACTCACTTGACAGGGATTTGTTCAGGTGATGTATAAAAGTGATTAAAGATGATCTTGGAGTGGGAGGAAGAAAAGTAAAGCAATACCTACCACCACTCTTCATTCTTTTCGAGAAGAGATATTCTTTTGACAAAAAAATAAAACAGAACAAAGAGAGCACACACCGATGATGAAGGCTCGGCTAGTCTACACTGACAGACTATTCACTATGTTCAGCAAAAACCAATGTCAAGAATGCATTTGAATGGTACACCTTTCATAACAAAACACCGAGGATGTCTTCTGGTCTTCATCCTTTTAAACAACAATTCTGATAATCAGAAATCATAGCCATGATTTGATTAAGTAATTTTTCTAGGATCACTTCATCCAACATAATAGATTCTTGAACAATCCACACCATCTGGAACGAACCTTAAAGGAACTGTGTGAATTAAACACTTTTACAAAGTTTGAAGTATGCTATGGTCAATTGTTTCTTTCACGTTGACGATGTGGAAACATTGCCAAAAGAACAGCGTTCGTCTTTTCTCGATTGGAGGGTTTCAGCTTGAACCTGGTCATGAAGCAAGGAACATGTCTCCACCCAGAATTTATAAAAGGGGATTTTTGTTTTCTGAATGGCCAAGTGACAACATCGGGGACTGGCATCAGCAGTGAACTTGATCAAAACATGATGACAAACTATGAGGATGTCTAACAATGCCATTAACACTTGGTTTGCACTACTGGAGTCTATTTGCAGCTAAAATGGGTCAAACACACACGCACACGCATGACTTGATTCAGTGACAATAGAGTTATTGTACTGAAAGTGTTAGTGATCAACCAAACATAAAGCATCTCGTGAGAAAAAATATGAATAGGAGTTCATTACAATGTGCAATGTTAATCAGAGGGACATGACAGCTCAGTGACATTTGCAGGTTTTCCCCTTAAGGTTTATCCCTTTAGAGGCAGTATTACTGAGATGATGTACAAACTTAAACTCCATTTCAAAAAGGCGATTTTCTTTCTCTTTTTGTTGGAATGATGAATGCAAGGTGAAACCAAACACGCCAAGGAAATCACACCCGTGGCCAATAGGCAGGGGGGTTGTTAAGCTCATGGAATGAATGGAACCTACTTTCTGCTGCACCGTATTTCGCTTTTTGCCGCCTGGCCTCATCGGAGTCTTTGTGGATCATATTGCCGTCCAGCGAGAAGTGGATAGCCAGCTGGTCTACATGTGAAGTCTGCTTGTAAACACGTTCCTGCGGGCAGAGGTAATAGCAAAACTATATGTTAAAGCTTTTTTTTTTAATATACAAAAATTAACTTGAAAGGCTTCTTTTACACCAAAACTTGTTCACAGTTGTGAGCAATGCCTTTGGTAGACTTAGGTGACAACCTTTTAAGTGCCTTTCAAAATATCAGTTTCCTTGATAAAAGAAATACAACATACCTCGTGCAAACAATCAATGCTTCAATGCCTTCCCACTGGAGCGTGTTGTTCTGAAATAAGTATGCATACTGGGTTTTTCTAAATCCTTAGTGGAACTGTATTTCTAACTGGAAGAGGCAAAATTTTTAGCTATTTGGATTTTGAGATCACTGGAATCACCATTCTCCATTTAATGAGAACTATTTGTTAATTTCTTTAAAAGTCTTGCAATATCATAAATCAGATTTAGGAACAAAGTTATATGTTATTCTTTAACTTGAGAGTCTTACCTTGAAGTTGTACCTGACAATATTTTGCGGTGCATGGGGATTATTGGCTGTTAGGATGCGGGTGAATTCTTCCTTCAGTTCCTACAAATGACGAAAAATCTGAATTCAAGGTTTAATTCACCTCACGCTAACAGCTTAGAGAGAGAAGTTTTGAATATTTGTACTTTCAGACAGACAACCTAATTTCTTAAGGAAAAATGACAAGTGAGTGACAAGTAGATGAACTCAAAATTGAATGATTAGGATTTAATTTACAAAGGCACACAAATCCTGTGAATGATGACTCTCATACTTACAGTGTCTGTTAAATCTAGCTGGTCATCTGGCTTGATGAGAGACTTGGTCTATAATGAAAAATAAAATATGCTGCATGTTGTCAAATCTAACTTAAAATGTCAAATTTAAATTACTGCAAAAATCCCATCTAAGTGTACAAACTTCAGTCAACAAGATTCAAACTGTGTGAAAAATAACATTATAGCCTTTCAGCTTGATGAAGTACTCGCCATTAACTATGCTTCTCAGGCTCATAAATCAAGTTTTTTTTTACTATTTGAAATGAATAACCCTATCTTCCCAGCTGCTGAAACTTTCTCAGAGTGCCCTATACAGCATAGTAGCATTTGCAAGTTAAAGCAAATGGCTTACCAAACCCGCCAATCACTATCCATTTTAAACTGCCTGCCGACAGATGCTTCTCTCTGCAAAGCATCCTGATCGAGGACACAAAAAACCCACCCTCTTGTCAAAGTTGCCCAAGGATTCTGTATTCACACACGAGGTTGACACCACGCCTACCAGACTGAGAGCATCAAAGCCCCATACTGATGTCGCTACGTACCTGCATCCACTCCTCACCATGGCCTCCTTCTCCAACTTCGGTAACATCATCTCTTACATCATCCTAGGAAAGGGTAACAGATAACAAAAAAATCAAATTACACAACAATCGTAAACAGGCATATCTTGACAAATTGGCATAATCAAGAAATGAAGTAAGCCCTAAACAATCAACAACTTATTTCTGCCACTTCTCTTGCACGAAAGAGTAAACAAACTCCCATTTTATTCCAATAATCATATATCCCTAATCATCATCTTGCTGGCACTGGTTATCCACTAATTATTCACATATGAGCTTGGAACTACATGTAGTTATTCTTTTTTTCACTGAATCACTGAACTGGAACAAAAGGGAGGCTGTACTGGCAAAAACAGAGACTCAAAGCTGGCCATCACAGCCTCTTTTTTGACCCAACAGAGCCCAACGAAGGGCCAGTGCCAGTTCTGTCTGCCACAAGTGCCAAGATGGAATCCAATACCATGGAAATTAAAAGGCTTACACTAAGTTACAGGTAGATGCTTTGCTGTACCCCTCATTAGGACAAACTTCATCATGGTTAATAGATTTACCTTGAGAGCCACTTTGGCACCTCCCATGCTGACACGGGGAGGACGTCCCTTGCCAACTTTCAGACTGGAAGCACCTCCTCCAGCCTGGACAAAGACAAAATTGGATAATGATGAGAGTACAGTGCATGTAGGTCTATGAAATTTGCAAATTCGTTGAACATTTGTTGTGTATTAAAAGTTCTAACATTTATTCAACAGTTTTAAAATTACATAAGTGAAAACCCTGAACTTGTAGGGCAGTTGTAAATTTAAACTGTAGCCCTCTGAATTCTGATATTGAGAGTGGTGAATGGTAAATATCAAGTTGACTTCTAGAAGTGTCAGTTGACTGCTAGAATTTGCCAATCAGATGATTATTGGTGTTCGATTGCATGAGGTGAGCTGAGTGGAATACATTGTATAACATGAAATTATTCTTTCCATCGGCAATGCACAGAGGTGTTAGTGGGCTCAATCAGATAATCAGCACCATCGTTACATCCCTTATTCAGAACAACCCTCCATGTTAGGAAAGAAAAGGAGATAGAGTATTGGCAGAATTATTGGAAAATCATACAATAAGGCCAAAAGAAACACGGACTGCGAAAAGATCAAGCATTAGTGGAATCAACTGACCTTGCCCTACAGTTACATTCATTAATGTTAAGCCTGGAGGCCAGGCTAGTCCGAGTAACTTGGACTCTACAAATCGCATTGTTTAAAATTTGGATACGGTCGGGCGATAATAGAGTCCAAGAACCTTTCATATAGTTTGGTTCCATTAATTCATTTCACTCAGAATAGCTGGTGCACTGTCGTACCCCTAATCAAAATCCTCCAAATTCACCTCCAAAACAGTCCCCAAAATGTCTAATGCCCCCGGCTAAGGTAAGGATTAAGTGAGATCAAAGATTCCAATAATGATGGTAAGGTTAACTCGCATATGGGAAGAAAAGAGAAATTTGCTGATTTTCCTCTCATCCACATATGAAAGCCACACTGTGGTTGGCCCAACTTGCTTCCATTCGAATGACCAATCATAGCTTGGCTTTCATTTTGTTGGGGTCAGAAAAACAAGGAAAATATAGGAGCTATGTTGCGATTGGTAAAGCTGTCATACAGCTGACAGTGATTGACAGTACATGCCGCTGATTTTCTATGGCATGGATGGGTAACATGCTTAAGAATATCACCATTTCAGTGAGGATATAAGGTGAATAATCCTCCCCATCTGACATCTAACTTCACCAAGAAGGCATGTGTGAAATTTTGTTGCACAAATACATGCAACTGTGATGGCAGAATAAGTTGGCACAATCAAAAACAGCCAAAATGTGTTTATGTGAGTTTGTACAAGGCTATCTGTAAGGTCTGTATAAATCTTACAGTTCAGGAAGTAGCTCAGGCACACAGGCTGTAATGGCTGTGCCTTAGTCTAGGCTTTCTGTTCTAGAAAGTAAATTCCTTGTAGGCCCCTAGCTTAAGTTGCAAACACTCCGACTCTGTAACACTAATGCTAGTGTGAAGTTCCAATCCAATTAAGCAAGCCTAGGCCTAGTACATGTATTTACCTTGCATGTTATAACAACCAACCGATGAGAAAATTACTAAATGGCCGTTCTAGTGCCTCAAGTACAACAGTAAGTTTGATGTTCAAAGTTAACATGTCTATAACATCAGACATGGCCTAACATTACATGTCAATGTTGAGAGCAAATTTCAAATTTGCGCAACCGCAGATATTGCCATAAAAATTGCACGCAGTGATAAAAATTACATGGATGCAGGATCCACAAGCAACAGACGTATGTAAGAGACTGACATCAACTATACGTTTTGCATGACTTCGTAGGGTCCGTTTTGCGCGTGATGTGTGTGTGGCAGAACCAGAAATGAGTATGTTATTAAATACACATTTTTACAAAGAAGTAGTTCCCCTTTAAAAATGTTTAGTTTTAGTTTACAGTTCTTGATTTTTTTTAGTAGTGTACCCCCTGTTTATTTGTTTAAGCACCAGCTTTCCCCCTATACAATGTAGCCACATGGTCTGGCCACACTCAGTGTAGCAGATCAGAAAGGATCAGTCAACCTTACAAGTACTTTTCCCACCTAACTGGAGTGTGGTTTTCTGCTTGAGCCCTAGTCTGCTAGAAGTTTGTGGTGAGTTTCTAAACTTTTCTTATTCATGTATATAGTTCATTTTTCCCTCTTTCCTCAATATCATCAAGTTTCTAAACTTTTCTTGCCAAGGTTTGTCCATTTTCTTTCTGACCATTAGTTTTCTGAATCACTGAAGTTGTCCTAACTTTGTCTAGCCTTTATGCCTAGAAAACACACTCTAAGCTTATATCATCTTTTAGATCTCTACTTCTTTGACTTTCTTATAGTTTCTTACCTTTCTTCCTCTTTTTAGTGGTCTAAGTATTCGTGATGTATACAAAGTATTTCCATCTACTTGCCTCAGAACATGCCTTTCTTTGTCTTCTCTTCCTTATTTGATTGTTTATTTGGACTTGCCAGGGGATTTTAATACTTAAATGAGCCCTATAAGCCTGTGCACAGTTTTAGTTTTATGACATGTTAATCCCTGCTCTCACTTCCAGTAGTATGTAGTCCATGCCCAAGAGATTTTGTTGTGTTTTTTACATGTGTGTTCTTTCCTTTTCTTGTTTTTACAGAAGTCTGGGTGTATACTCATAAGGTCCATTTTAAACACTGTGTTGTTTTTTTAGTCCTTTTTAAGTTTTAGTCTTTTAGTCTTGTAGTCCTTTTGTTTTGGTTTTTTTTATTTTTTGGGGGACTTTTTAATAAATGAATTCTCTTGTGTCCTTTTTTTTTTAAAAGTCAAATAATGATGTTTGAGTCTCTATTAATTAAGTTTCCTGCGACCCTTCCCTCAAAGATCCTTGGTTTATATTTTTTTTGTTTTGCGAGTTCCCTTATAGTGTGCAATTTTTCCCTGTTAGATGTTCCCTGCATGTAAAGCATGGCACATGGGGCTGGTATACCCAGCCAGAAATGAGACCGAAGAAGACAGAACCTGTGTGCGTAGCAGTGCTACATGCTACACAGAATGTTTAGTCAGGTGATATGCAATACGATATAGGCTCAGCCCATTGGATGGTCTAAGAACCAGACCTTCAAGTGCGAACTAATGCTACACAGTGCTAGACGAAGACGCAAGAAAAGTAAGGGGCTGCGGCGTGTAGCAAAAAAGTGCTACACCATAGACTTATAAACAAACCCGGTGCTACACAGTGCTACACGGGAAAATGTAAAAGGAGGGGGCCGCAGCGTGTAGCAAAAAAGTGCTACACCACAGACTTGTATACAAACTGGGTGCTTCACGTGGGTCAGACATGTCAGAGGAAAGTGTGTGGGTGTTCTGTTCTACGCGTACGCTGATATGTGATGCTTTCACAGCATACCTGTAAACTTTTGCTCGTAATTGCGCATGCTCAGTTCTGCAGCAGTACTGTGTAGTGGTGCTACAAGGAAGACCATGTGGATTCGGCAGTCTCATTTCTGGCTGCATATGGGGGCTGGGGTACAGTACGTCAACATGATGCCAGCTGGCTGTGATGCCATTCCAGCATTTTGATGAATAGGCGTATTGCCTCAAAAGAACAATTAAATTCCCGTCAACATTTAACTTGGACTTTGCTTCCCTTTTAAAAAATATTCATGAGAGCTTTTAAATTCCTGTTAACATTTAAGTTGGAAAATTCTTAGAGCCATATAGATTAGAAACATAGGGCCTCTCTGCAATGGGACGGTGCGGACATACCGAACTCTCGCAAAATGGCAGGTAGTAACCGATGAAAATAGCAACTGTGGGAACATGTGTGCACCAGCCAGTCAGAGGATCGGATTACACAAATGTTTCTTTGATCAGTATGTACTTCTTTGATCATACGTTCATTTCAGTTGTTTTCATCAGTTGCTACTTGCCATTTTGCAAAACTCCTGGATGTCCGCGCTGCCCCATTAAAGTAGAATCTCAGACAAAATAGGCAACAACCTGGGAAAGTGTTTTTAAAGGACCTATTAAAATACAGGTTTATACTGGAATTCTGGCCTTTACTCAAGGGAACAGTTTGCCAGCTTGACTGGTGCCAGGCAGCTGGTGCAGACTTCGAAGGGATTGGGAATCCCCACACTACTCATACTTCTTAGAGTAGCCCCCCCCCCACTGCCAGCTACTGTACTGAGTGGATTCCTCTTTTTCGATTTTGGACAGGATCAGTATCAGTAGACGTGTCTAGCTCCATGCCCCAAACTAAACCCAAAGTTGGTGTGATGTTTCCTGATGGAGGCTTTGCCGATTAGGCCTAGGCCTAGACATGCTAGATAGATGATCAGGATGATTCAGAAGACACGGTAGCCTACATTGGTGGGCCTAGAGCTAGGACTGCAAAGTAGGCCTAGGGCCTAGGCCAGCTAGGCTAACGTGGAAAAGCATTTTCCAAGCACAGACACATGAAAGCATATCAAATTTGATGTATTTAAAGGTAAATTTTACCTGCTTAGGTTTGGCCGGACCCTTTACAGGCATTTTTTGAAAACTCTGAGTCCAAATCTGCGTTTAAAAGAAAGCTTTCTCCAATCTCCCCGTTGTCATCGGCTGCTGAATGTAGCCTGTTGTTAGGGTAACTGAGCATGCGCAAATCATTTTAGTTAGGAATTCTAGAATTTTTAATCTTTTTGATTCAAATGTACAATACAGTCAACAGTGTTTCAAAAAGTAATAACATAATAGAGAATTGCATACATTTTTCTTTGGTTTTGAATATTTTGAACATTAAATATAGAGAAAACTGTTGAGTAAATTAATTAATGCAAGAACGAGCCAAAACAAATTATCAACGACTGTTTTGTAGCTTTCGTGTTCTGACATAAAATAGTTTCGATAACAGAGAGCTATTGAGCGAGCTAGAGGGCGCTTTTTGTGCAAGTACTTTATATCGAAAGAGAGCTGCTGCCGTGCTGCCGGTAATAAAATGTGGAAATTGTAACATGCATGAGCGATGTCTGTCGCTGTCGAATGTCACATTTTTTGAAAGAAAATGGACGAGGACGAAACTGACAGTGGATACTCTACTTCATTAAATGACAACGTAAAGGTAAATTTCATTGTTTTGCCATGTTTAATCTGTGACTGATTTTTGTCATTTCGTGCCCAGCAGCTCAGTCATGTCCATCCTTCTGCTAACGTGTGTAATTCCCCCAACCATGCCAACACGTCCAGTGCATGATTAAGGCCTACCAATACCATGCCTACATGTATGTGTTCATTAGGTCGGTTACAGTACACAGTACATCATGGCCGGTGTTCCTTATATTTTCCAATTATAGGGAAACGGTCTACTTTTACTAAACAACTCCCTTGAATAAGTTAGTTGGAAATGATTAGTGGTGATTAATTCCAGAACTGTAACAACAGTGTAAGCATGGTAAGGTTTATCCAGATGAGATAGACATGTACAGTCACCCATAAACACATTTGGCTGTTTTGATTGTCAACTTACTCTTTCATCACAGCTAGGCCTATTAGTGCAACCACGGTGCAACCAAATTTCATACATCAGTTATATGTCAGATGGGGAGGCTAATTCACCTTATGCATGTTATATCTTCATTAAAATGGTGGAGTTCCTGAGCATTTTGCCCATCCGCACTACTGAAAATCAGCAACATTTACTTTCAATAACTGTCAGCTGTGTGATAGCCTGACCAATCGCAATACAGATCCTATTGTATCTGTTCCTTTTGTTTTCCTGTCACCCACACATGAAAGTCGCACTGTGAATGGTCCCATTTGCTTCCATTCCAGTGACCAATCGTAGCTCAGCTTTCATTTGGATAGGGTCAGGAAACAAAAGGACCAGCAAAATCATTTCTTTGATGCACAACTCTGTGTGGACATGTTTACGATTGACATATATCAATAATTGCCCTTAATTAAGTCCATTGCCATAGATAATGGTAGAAAAATAAGGCACATGTCAATTGTACGTAGTCTGTGAATAATGGATGACACTCGGACTACGTCAGTTGACACCATCTCTGCAAAACTAATTTAGACATTTCTCTCGTAAATTATTTTTTTAAAGTGATAAAATGGCCAAAAATAATTGTGCAGTGGGGAAAATCCGAGCCCGAAGTGACGGAACAATAGCCCCAATAAGCTACATGTATGTCCAATGCAAAACAGCGAAGGTGACTAATTTTACCAATCACCAGCACTAATACCATACTGGGTACAACTGAAGGATTTGTTCTATTGGTAGCTTGGGCTGCATTATTGGTTGATTGCGCAGGACTGACGCACAAACTGCTGTTTGTGGAGTTACAAGTTGATCACGCAGCCATCACTCAATTGAAGACATCACAAATATAGAAATGTCAGTGAATGTGTTGGCATGATCAGTTGATCTCAAATTGCCCCATTGGTTGACAGTGCCATTCCATGTATGTGTGTGTAGATCCATCAATCCTGAAGACTTTTTATACCATGTACAATTAGATTCAGTGGCCCTTACATGTATGGTAAGTCCTGACTAAGCATTCAGAGCAAAATAAAATAATGTACAAAACTTGAATCACACCTCTTTCGATAAAGTCTGCACAATATTTATGAAGCAAAGGCGAAGTTTCTCAGTATATCACGAGTTGTGCTTGAGGTCTCAGTTCAATTTGAACGGAGATATTTCTTTGACATTTTGCTGCTGGGAGTGCAGCTAGATGTACGTGTAAATGATTTGATGCATACAGTGTAATGTGTGCATGTACACACTGTACATGTAGATCTCACAGATGTAGAGACTGGGTACTGTACATGTACCACTTCTATGCAGTATTAAAACGTATTGGACAGGGAACATGTACTTCATGCTCATGTGAAATAAATGTATTTTGTTGAGTTCCACAATGATTCATCATCTACATTTCAAACGAATTAAAATTACACATACATGTATCAGTCCACTTTTCAGGAGGAACTTGATAAGAGTCCTTTCTGTGGGCAGATTAATACCATGTCAACAGTTAAATCTCCTACACAAATGCTAGCATTAATAGCAGGTAAACATAAATTAGTAACCAGTTGCTAAGGTAAGTAAACTATTGGCCAGATTTTTGTTTCTGCTGGTAAGCACTTAGTGTGGTTCTAGTTAAAATTGTATTAGAATGAGATGTGAGTTTAAATCATACATGTACATGGTCCATGGACCATGTACGTGTATATTGACGTGTACATGCAAAGGTTCCTGTGGCAAATAAACAGGAAATCTCAGCGTACGAAACTGGTTGAAAACTGTGTGAGTGATTTGTAGATTCTGGGCGGGAGGATTTAGACAGTGGTCACTGACTTAACCCTAACCCTCCTCAATCCTTCACCTGTTGGAGGACTGAGGAGTGTTAGGGTTAAGGAGCGGCAGAGGTACATGTACATGGACATGTGTAGATCATTTGGTGAAAGAAATGGGCGTTCATACACACCGCGTGTGAAGGCTTCTTCTTGCGCATGGTGTTTTTACTCAAACTGCAGTACAGAGAAACCATCATGTGAGTGCTTGAGTCTAAGTTTGGAATCATGTGTTACTGTTGGACAAAACCCACTGGCATGACTGGTGGCAGCCAGAAGCCTGTACATGTACATTAACTTTATCTCTCGTCACTGATACCAGGTAAGGATGAAGGTAGAGAACGGTACATGTATATGTACATGTACAATCTGGTCAATATACCGATGCATGTAATTCCACTCTGTTTCAGTTATTGCCAATCAGCGTGCAGGTGTGCATGCACGTTATTTTTCTCCTTAAAGTGTATACATGTAGTAAACAATTTAGTACATGTATATTAATTTATCAGTGTATCATAGCACGCACAAAGCTTTCTTAAATTTCAGCTGCGTGTCGTACTTTACATGTATCTCAGTGTTGATATAACTTCTCTTCCTTTTAATTCATTATTTTGACATAATTTACAGGTTCACATTAAGGACCAATCCAACGGCAATACATTATCTGAGCGTGATATCAATGGACACAAAGTCACAAACGGTCTGAAGACCTACCGGAGACCGTCTCCACTACAGGTTAAAATGGGTAAGTGTGGAGGTCATGTGGATAGGTGCCATGGCCTCGGGAGGTCACATATATGTACATGTACATTGTAGGCCTTAAAGCATCGTTTACAAACAATGACTGCCATTTTGTGCGGGCGGCCAAAGTTTGCAGAAAGTTCACACTTGCATGCATTAGCAACAGCTTTTGCCTGAAAAAAATGCGCATTTGTTTCATTAGAATGATAAGCGCAGAAAAAAGGGTAAAGAGTTTATGCATTACTAGTGTCTCCATGGTGTTTTAGCAGCTGTTTTGTGAGTTCAATTCAGTTACAATGAATGCACAAATGGGTTATTCGATGCTGTCCCAGTGATACAAAACATCTGCCCTCCACGGATGCACGTACGTGTACACGTATGTATCCTCACTCACTATTTTCACTTTAGTAGTTCTGTGTTTTCTTCGCCGAGTGAGTTTCTTAAACGCTTTGTGAATTATTTTCTTTTGTACTGGGCCCCAGGCAAAGAAATTGACTCCAAAATAAAGATTTACTGAGCCAACTGGTAGACAGGATGGTTGTCAGGTTATTCCTTTTTGGAGGAGTGCTCTACACGTACATGTATACATGTATCTATCATAATTTATACATAAGTTATATTTTTTGTTACCAAAGTGTTCTCAGATTTTGCATTTAATGCTTTTATAGGATGACTATTTTTCAAATTAATCATCTTATAATAAACAGAAGTGGTGCACTGTATGATGATACTGGTTCAGCGCAGGGTTTCCCCTGCCTATCCACTCCGAGTGCAACAAAAGAGGGCATGTTTTTTGGGGGGTACTCACCGCATAAGCGCATGTTCACACTTAAAATAGACACAAAGATGGAAGAAAAAAGCAAAATCACTAAGATATTTTGAAACAGATCAGTTTCAAATTATTCGCAATGATAGGGACACAGAATGCAAGATCAATTTACATTTGTATTTTAGTGGAGAAATTTGGAGTAATGTGCTATTGGACTGAATAGATTTTATTTAAGGCCTTTTTGAAATCACTTGGCTTTTGTTTTAGGGACTAGAAATTTGTATGACCACCTCAAAACATATCAGTACCCCAGAGGAGACCCTGGTACAGCATGTACAATGTACATGTACCGTACTTGTACGTAAACTTTTTGCAAAAGATGTTGTTCAGTTGAGTAAGAGAGAACACCTACATACTGTACAAGCACATTTGGATGTGGAATCCCTGCCTATGATAAAATTTGTACCTGTTTTACAGCTACATGTAGCTTAACCCAACCAATTGAAGCTTGAAGGCCAAAAGCTGGATTGAACGAGACACTGTAGGGTAGCAGAATTGCTTTTTCAATTACCGAGCAGACAACAGGACATGTACATGTATTACCATAATCACCATAATTACCCGCTCCTGGTAATTATAATTTCTCTCTGTAATCTGGATGTACATTTACATTTATTGTAGTACAGGTGTCTATGTGCAGATGGTCAGACTCTGGGTATACTGTACACACACACATGCAGTGTTTGAATGCAATGCTTCATATCAAAGATGTGGTTTATAAGAAGTCAGCAATGGTTTTTACTGCACATGCATGTACATGTACGTAACGGTAGGTACATGTATGTACATGTACCGTCTTATTGGCAATTGTAGGGACCACACGCATGTTGAATGATACATTATAGTAGTTACCGGTATGAGAACAAATTGGTCATGGGGACAACTTTCAGTCCTTCTCTCTGAAATGTTTTCAGTTTGTAAATTCTGGGTTCTCAATTTGAACAGAAACACCTACATTGTACATTGTATGCACTGAACCATCTCCTCCTTAGATGACTTCTGAGCACCAGCGTCCTCAGTTGTCTGGGAAAGCATGGATGAATTTCATTGTTTAAAAGCATGCACTGTTCCATGTATTGAACCAATAGGAAAGTAAGAGAGTTTTGACAAAGGATACAAAGTTGAAGAAAAATTGTGTCTAAGGAAAATTCATTTCAGCTGCACTTTAACCTAGTAAAAGAGCATCAAGGTACCGGTAAGCATTGGTACGGTACTTGTTTGTTTTCTAAACTTGAGTAAAGCATGTACATGTATGGACCTTTACTGTGGGTTCAGTTTTATACATGTACATTGAGCAATGCATCTTTCATGGAACGATGCACGGGAAGCTTTTATTAAATGAGTCTTCCTACATGTATTTCATTAATTAACATTCCTGGCTAATTGTGTTGCACACAGTGTACACATGTACATGTATGTACTGGTATGGGGTAATTTCATCCTGACTGTACCTGTGCATGAACCCTATCCGTAGGTGAATTAGTCATTCATTCTCATATGTTTGGTGCACAGGGTGGCCCCTTTTCTGTGGACTTATTGCACGTATGCCTAAAATGCCTCATTTTCTAAAGGAAAAAAATTGAACAATTAATAAACATCAGAAAATTTGTACATGTACCGTTACACCGGTAATGTACGTGTACATGTAATCCCAGTTTTCTTATGATTAGACCACAAATGTTTTTGTCACTTTTCCCAGATGTCAAAGCCATTTTACTGCGTATGGAAATTATTGTTGACTGATATACCTGTAGTTTAGAATTTCACATTGGTAACAATTCATCCATTGACTGCCTAAATATCATTTCAGTGGCGTCAGTAGCCTCCTTTAATGATTATTTTTTTTCAAACTGATCGTATCAGCACAGTATCATTTGAATTATGCAAACATCATTAAAAATCAATATAAAACACCGTGATTTTGTGGTACACAGTTTTCACTCATACTGAGACGGTTGCCATGAACAAATGAACCGTCAGTTAATCATGCCAAAAACTAAGGAGCCGAGCAAAGCAACTAAGAACTCCATCTTCATTCTGCTGGATGAAGGCTACAGTGAGAGGTACACTATACATGCAGGTGGCTACAAGGATCAGTGTATCAAAGACTGCAGTCCACCACACTCGGAAGAAGCAGGAGGAGTATGGAAACACCAAGCTGCAGCCAGGTACCGGTAGAGGCGGAAAATGGTCTTCTACTGTGCGTGATGACCGCTGTCTCGTTTGTTCTTGCCCCCCCAAAAAATAGACAATTGACCTCCAGTGACCTTCAGATGCTGTGGGAAAGTTGAACAACTGTGAGATGTTCATCAAGGACAGTCTGTAAAGATTCCTGCAAGCTGGCTGGCCAGGAAGAAGCCCTCCATCAATGAGAGGCAGAGGAAAAGCACGCTACAATTTGCCAAAGCAGACAAGAATTGGACTGTTGTTGACTGGGCTAGTCATCTTCAGCGATGAGTCTAATTTACAGTTGTTTCCAACTCCCAGCCATGTGATGGTGAGAAGAAGGTCTGTGGAAGCCCACAAGCCTGAAATTTTGGTTGCTACGGTGAAATTTGATGGTGGTTCTATGATGATGTGGGAGAAGGCTGAAACTGGACAAATGTGATTATGTGAAGGTCGGATGAACCAGGCAAATTCTGGAGGAAAATCTACTGCCATCAGCCCAGTCCCTGTTTCCCAACTCTGATATTTGGGTTTATCAGCAGGACAGTGCCCTTTGCCACACAGCAAAGTCAGTTGAGATGTGGATGACAGATCATAACATCCGGATCATTTCCTGGCCTGGTCAGTCACTGGACCTAAACGCAAATGAAAACTTGTGGAACAGTATAAAACAAAAAATACAAGACCATAAGCCATCAAAGAAGCAGAGCTACATGTATTTGAATTGTAACGTCAGGAGTGGGCAGCAGTGACACCGAAAGAACGTCAGAGGCTAGTAGAGAGCATGCTGAGGTGCATCAATGCTGCCATCAAGAGCAAAGGCCATGCCACCATATACCTATATCTGACAGACCCTGACATGCCCAGACACTGTTAATTTTGGTATTAAGAATTAACAGCAATTAGTTTTTGTTTCTTCAATGAAAAATAAAGTGGGATTTTTGGTTTTAGTTGGTAAAATGTTAAACTGATGCAACTTCCGTATTACTGCCGTCTGGTCCCAATGAAGTTGAAATATGATTAGATGTTACTTTTGCCTTTTTTTCATTGTATTCACAGTAATGGTGGGAGTATGAAGCACTAAGCTGATATCTGAGACAAAAATGACGGTGGTCTTTTTTTTTTCCCAGAGCTGTAAATGTTAGTTTTCAAAGAGGTTATTTTGTTGGACAAAATATAGGAAAATCGATCTCCATTATTTTGATTTTGAGGAGGCCTCACATAAATGAATTTGGACTTGGGTCTGACCTATATGACTTGCGGGCTTTTAGTGTCTGATTGAATACAAGAAAATTCCTCTGACATGAGCATCTGGGTCCAATTTCATAGAGCTGCTTAAGCACAAAATTTGCTTAAGCACGAAAAAATCTTACTTGATAAATCAGGTAACCAGCCAAACCTCCATGTGATGTATATTGTTTTGGGATTGTATTTAGCTGTTTTTTTGGGTTAGCAAGACAATCAGATAGAATTTGAGCTGGTAACCTTTGTTTATTAAGCAAATTTTTTCCTGGTAAAGCAGATTTTGTGCTTAAGAAGCTCTATGAAATTGGCCCCTGGCAGGTGTGAGATGGGTCACACAAGTTTCCGTTAGCTTCACATTGTGTCATTTTTTTTTCACAGAGTGTTCATCTTTTGCTTCAAAATTTAAAGTAGCCTCATCAAAAGATAACTACCGGTACCTGTACAAGTATTTTAATCATCTTTGCTTCCCCTGAATTTACGGCATACCTTCACATACCGGTACATGTACATGTATGGCATTTCACATGATTTTTGCAATTGTGACCAATATACATTGTACATGTATGTACATGTGGTTGCATACTTTTTTGTAGATTTCCACAAGTTCGCATCAACTTGGGACCGCCTAATTAAGCACAGGAGTTGTAGGCCGTAGGAGTAGGAGGGAGAGCACCCCGTGTTCATTGCAGGGTAATTGATGCCCATTCCCAACGGGTCCAAGCTGTGAACGGCCTGGCGTCTCAACACCATGAATCTTTAATCTT